TATAATAACTATGTAAATGTGTTAAGTTTGTTTTTCTGTGTATGGGTGCATTAATAATGCAAGTTGTACATTTGTTAAAATTATCTATCCACTGGTGCACCAATGTACCTTTGGATGCTTATTGTATGTACAAATATCGTTCTGATTCTGTACCGTTATAAGCTCGAAAGGAACAAAATTAAAATTAAAATCATTCTGAGCTTTCCCTCCAGATTAGCCTTTTTTGCATGAATCAAATAATTGGTCCACATTCACACACTTGCGTGCGTGCGTGCGCACACTCAAAAACACTTTTCTTCAAGACTTGGAAAGTGACGAACCAAAGGCAAATACGATTGTTATCATGCAGCTGCAAAAGAAGAAAAATGGGGGGAGAGTTCACAGCAAGAGACACTTCTGCCTCTACTGTTCAATGTCCTGCCACAAAATGTCCCGTCATTTGACTAGAAAACATGGAAATGAAAGTGACGTAGCCAGAGCATTGGCTCTACCTGTGAAATCTAAAGCACGTAAACTTCAGTTTGATTTGATCAGGAATAGTGGAAACCGTGAGCACAATTTTGAGGTTTTAAAGGCCGGCATTGGAACTTTAGTCCCAGCTAAACAGCCAAATTCCCCAGTTAAATCCAGTGAGTTTTTGCACTGTATAGACTGTGGGGCATTGCTTAAGCGAAAGTCGCTGTGGAGGCATGTGGCCAGGTGCCGGCTTTCACAGAAAGATGCCCAGGCTAAACCAGGTAGAAGTAGGGTCCAGTCCCTCTGCTCCCTAGCCCAGCCTGTACCGGACGGCATCAGCAAAAAGCTGTGGTCTTTAAAGGACAACTCACCCTCAAATCCACTTTTTTTTGCTGATAAACGGTATAAATGAGTGTCCAATAGTGTTGTCTACATATCCTGGTCATAATCTTGTCACTTTGGTGCAAATTAGTTGAAAGTTAGACTTTCTGCCTAAAACCGTCTGTGAGGCGCCATCTGCTGGCGACCTGTATTACTACATTTGAATTTTGAATCTGGCGCCAACACTGGCACAGAAGTTGGACCTGACGTCTGCAAGTTGGACCTGACGTCAGCAGCCCCCCGCCCAGAGCAATGTAAACGGCCCAGTCTCGTTCACGCCCCCTTTAGTCCTCCAGGCTACGCCCATTTAGAGGAAGATTTGAACAGGAAATATGAGTAACGTAAGCTCCGAGGAGCGGGGGTGAGAACCACTTTAATTTGGGCAATGCATCAGGATGAGGTCACGGGTGTTGTCAAAGCAGAAAAGGGGATTCTGAGACTCGGAGAGCACCTGTACTTAAAACACGGGCATGATAAGACTAAGCATGATTACATTAGGCAGAAAATGAGAGAAGTAGGTTAATTAACGAAGCAAAAACGGCAGGGAAACTGAAAACAATGAAGGATTTCTTTATTCCTTCCAACTTTAACCATGTGATTGATGCAGTCAGGTCTGTGGCTGGATATGATGAGGAAACAAATCAATACAAGACTCCATCCTTGGCCCTCAAACTCGGCCATAGCCTGATGGGCTAGACACACGGGAGGCGACATCGCATCGCCTCCATTCATTTCAATGGGACGTGCGCGACATAGCGTCAATCGCTAGCGAGCCTCCTGCTCAGCGACGGGCGAAAAACGTGCGTGTGAAATCCTCCCGCTCGTGCATGTATCGTGCACGCGCAGGTCAGCGACGCGATCCCAGAAAGTTGAAATCGGCTCAACTTTTCGTCGCTGTCGTCAAGCCGCATCGCGCCCCGTCTGTCATGTTATCTGAGCGACAGCGTTGAGTTTCGCTGATCGCTCTCATTTGTCGCCTCCCGTGTGTCTAGCCCTTTAGAAAGCAGATATTCTTGAATGTGACTCAAAAATGGAGCATTGTGTTGATGAACTATTTATTAAAAACCTCCAACGAAGCCGGCAGCTTTTTGAGAAGAGGTGGGACGTCTGTGTTTCTTCTGCTGCCCTACAGACCCTCCGGCAAGCCAAGTGGAACACTCCGGAACTGCTCCCTCTGACTGAGGACGTTAGAGCCATGCATGCACATATTGAGGTATGTCGACCTGAATATGTGCAAACCCTAATAAGTGAGCCAACGTCTAAGCATTGGTCTAAACTGGCAGTTTTGACTCTTTGTGAGGTCATTATTTTCAATCGAAGAAGGGAAGGTGAGGTTTCAAAGATGCCACTGACAGCGTTTACCTTAAGAAGTAAGACTGGGATCCATTCTGACATTGCTCTGGGACTGTCCCAACTTGAGAAAAAGCTGTGTCAGCATTTTCAACGCATTGAAATTAAAGGGAAAAGAAGTCGGAAAGTGCCGGTTCTTTTGACTCCTGAAATGATTGCTTGGATGGAGGTGCTGGTGGAGAACAGAAGGGCCTGTTCCATCTCTGACCATAACCCATACTTCTTTTCCCGCCCGGGCGCAGACACCCACATCAGGGGATCAGACTCCCTACGGCAGGTAGCCAAAGAATGTGGTGCGGTGCATCCAGAGATGCTATCCTCAACCAAACTTAGAAAGCACATAGCTACTATGTCTACAGTTCTCAATATGAAAGAGAATGAAATGGACATACTAGCCAACTTCCTCGGCCACGACATTCGCATCCACAGGCAATATTACAGACTACCAGAGGGGACACTGGAGCTGGCCAAAATCAGCAAAGTGTTGATGGCCATGGAGCAGGGAAGAGTGACGGAATTCGAAGGAAAGAGCCTCGACCAGATACAAATTGAGCCTGAAGGTAATTCTTGATATTATTAAAATATGTATAATTTTTTCCCCCTAAAGGCCACTTGTATTTTTATTTTCTGTGCGACAGGGAGAGCAGTAGAGATCCTCTCACAAACGGACGGGCTAAAAGAAACTTCAAGCGGAGAACCTTCAACCATTCATCCAGATGCACCCCATGGTAGTGGCAGTGCCCCTTCTGGTAAGTGTACCAGGTGGGGGATTACAGCCAGGCTGCTTGGTCCTCACCCTGGGAGTGTATATTGCTAATATATTTTTATTTCTCTCCCTAGAACGTGTAAGAAAGCCATGGTCTGCATCTGAGGTGAAGGCTGTGGAGAAGACCATGACGCCTTTCATACAGACTGGAAAGGTCCCTGGGAAGTCTCACTGCCTGGCCTGCATTAATGCCTCACCAGATGACCTTAGACATCGGACATGGAGTGGCATTAAATTCTATGTCAAAAATAGAATCACTGCAATTCGAAAAAAAAATCAAAAAAAAAAATTCCTTTAAAAGAGTTGTTTTTCTATTGACTGTTTTGTATTACTTAAAGTAGTCCCAGTAAAAAAGATTATGTCTATGGGTCCCATTCTGAACGGCCCTGTCAAAGGGACCCACCAGGTAACAAAAACGTGTGTGTGTGTGTACTCACGTGACCCGTGTGGGACTGGCTTCCTGCAGTGGAAGTGTGTAGACGTGTTTCCCTGCTGCTCCGCTGCTTTCTTCGCTTTGTAATCTCTTTTAATCGCTTTATTTACATTTTTATTATACAAAACACGGATTACTCCTTCTGCAGACTTCAGCTTTGTGAAATTTGTCAACATTAAATCATGTCCGGACGGAAGAAACAAAGAATTAAATGCGATGGCTGCTGCACTCTGGAAAATGAGCTCAAATCTCTTCAAAAACGGATGGATATTTTGGAAACAGAAATGGGACTTAACCCGACTCTTCCAATGTGTGAAAATGGGAAGAATGGACAGACTGGAAATGTAAGTTATGATGACGTAATTACTTTTCCCAAAATCAACAAAGAGAACTATTGGAATAAATGCGGCGCTAAACCCAAAGTTGACAAAGCTAAGAATGACAATGGGAGTGGAATTCTGCCACGAAATGTTTGGAAAACTTCAAATCGTTATGCTGCTCTGTTTGAAGAAGCAAAGCCACAGTCTGTTTCTCCCCCTCCGTCAAGGCCACGGTGTTTGCTGCTTGGAGATTCTGCCATTCGGAATGTATCTTTGAACTTTGTACAGACTCATTCTGTGTACTCGGCCAAAGTGTCTGAGATAAGGGCTCTGGTGCCAAAAGTTTTATCTCAAATCTTTGAGCTAACTCACTTTGCACCTGTAAATGATAAAACTGTCCAAGAGATAATCTCCAGTTTGAGCTCCTCCACATGCAGCCTGGATGTACTACCCACTAGATTTCTAAAGTCTGTTCTGAGCAGTCTGTTACCTTCACTCACACAGATAGTAAACATGTCCCTTCATTCTGGAATATTCCCAAAGGCCCTGAAAACGGCAGTCATCAGGCCCCTGCTAAAAAAGAGCAGTCTGGATGCCACTGTGCTTTTTTTTTGTACGATTCACTTTTTTGCATGAATCAAATAATTGGTCCACATTCACACGCTTTATGCATCAATCAAAACACATGAGAAACATACAGTGCTGAGTTATGAGAATATAGGACAAGACAAAACAGCGCCCTCTTGTGTCAAGATTTGGTACTAGCTGGGGCTCAGTTTTCAAAATTGAGTTAAATATATTACTAAAATGCAAAATAGCTATTTCTAAATCATTTCATCTGTACTAAACTTGCATGCATAAGCCAGATCCCACCAGACCTCTGAGGTAGTGCAGGGCAGGGCCTGGTTAGTACCAGAATGAGTCTGGTGTGTGTGTGTGTGCGTGTGCGTGTGCGTGTGTGTGTGTGTGTGTGTGCAGGGTTGGTGGTGGGGGAGGCCGATGGCGAGGTAACAGTGGTTGCCTTCTGTCAGTGTGCCTCAAGGCAGCTGTGTCTACAGTGGTATAATATATAAAACCGATACATTGTCCTGTCTAGCCCATGTTAGCTAGAAATACTATACATTGATGTGAATACACGGCCGAGAAGCAAGCTGCAGAGAGTGTTCTGTGGGCTTTTTGGATCACCCACACACAGATTAAGTAATAATATTGTATAGATTGATGGGCTTGTGCAGCTGCAGTTGCACATTGGGCCTGATGAGGTATAGTCCTGCTGACCTAAGAACTGCTGAAGTTACACATTGGGTCTGATCAGGGCGTAGTTCTTGATGACCCCAGAGAAGCGAACAATGTGGATCTCAGGGTTTCTGGGTTTGAAGTCCTGCCACAGATACTCAGGAGACAGGACTTTGGACGGTTTGTTGTCCCATAGGTATCTGCACACACACACACATACAGAATTACACATATACACACTCAAAACAATTTGCTGCCCATCAGTTTGCTGCTGATAAGACACAGCAGTCATAGGTCTGATCTCTGGCAATGACGAGTCCACCTATCGTTTAGAGATAGATCATTTGATGAACTGCTGCGAAAACTATAACCTTGAATTCAACATTAGCAAAACTAAAGAGCTCATAATGAACTTCTGCAGGAACAAGCAGAGAAGGGGTCACCAGTGGAGAGAGTGGACTGTTTTAAATATCTCGGTGTGCACATCTCACACGACCTTAGCTGGACACCTTACATTACCTCTGTAGTGAAGAAAGCATGACCAGCACCTGCACCACCTAAGGCGTCTGAGGGGCCTGAAGCTCCCACCACAAGTGCTGAAGAACTTTTAAACCTGCACCACCAAGAACGTCCTGTTCCACGTCCTGTTCCACGTCCATCCACGCGGTGAAAATCACCACTTGCAAATTGTTTTGCGGTGAAAATCACCACGTCTCTCAGCGGAGAGAACCATCAGGATGGACCTCCCTCGATTGGAGGACATTCACATCCAACGATGCCATCGTAGAGCTGTTCACGCTGCTACGGTCTGGGAAGCGCTATAGTCGGCTCAAAACCAATAATAAGAAGATGAGAAGGAGTTTATTTCCCCACGGGGCCTGGCTGGGCTAGGCCCAAAAGGACAACGGGCCTTGTGGGTGATGAGTCCACAGAGGGGGGTCAGGGGTACAAAGGACTGGGTGGGGTTTGAAGGCGGAGACCACAATCCGGTCCACACACACCCTGAACCTAGCTCTTCCAGAGAGGACAGACCCTTCACTGTTCGGCTGCACATGGCACTGGTCCTGGCAGTGATTTCTTTTAACACAGGAAAGCTGTTGAGCTGGGTGAGTTGGGACAGCCTCCAATGAACCATTGGAACGGACCATACTAAATAGACTAGACAGCAACCCCCCCGACAGTGCAGGCGTTCAATAGCGCCCTTCTTTGGACACTAGGCACAGTGTTATCCCAAGGACAGGTCTACCAGGAATTCTCGTGCTGCACCCATCCCTCAGCAGCCGGTCCACCAGCCCAGTGACATTAGAACTGGAACGGGACGCTATCCCCCAGAGCCCCAAAGGGCCGGGGGTCAGGAATTGATATGTTCGGACTGGTCGTCTGACATTCTTCCCACAAGTAACCCAGCATTGGGCTGCTCAGGCACAGGATCCTCTCTCTATCTCTCTGCCACCATTCAGAGGGTGTTTAGGGAGGAGCACAGGGTGGGCTCCCCCATGGGCTCTTCCACCCATGTGGAATCTGCTTTTGCAGCTGGACAAATGGCACCCCAATCCTTGACACCTCCAGTTGTGGGTGTGGCTGTTAATGGGCCCGAGCTGCAGTCGTTTGGTGTCACTGGCTCTAGTCAGAACTTGGTAACCAGCGTCAACTGGCTCTCCTCCTGGTTACAAGGGTTACTGGGGTTACGCATCAGCTCACCTGTTGAGGTGGCTCTCCTCCTGCCAGGTGGCCTCCACTCCCTCTTTCTCGTCATCTCTGTAGTTCTGGGAGCAGATACGAGTTAGCTCTAGTACAAAGCCAACACTCCCTCCGAAGGCACCGCCGCAGTAATAGAAGTCTCCATCAGAGGGCGCCATGTACGCCCGAGACTGAGTGCGCCGCTCATACGGGAAGCCGCTGCGCGGGTTGCCATAGTAACCTGCACACATGATAGCACAGGGTAATGGGTTTAAAACACAGCATTTAGACAGAAGAGGGAGACACCAGGCACAAGTGACCAGGGACCAGAAACCAGGAGCCAGAGAACAGAAACAAGAGAGACCAGGCACAAGAGACTAAGGACTACTAGAAACCAGCGATCAGAGACCAGCATAAGAGTTGGGGTATTACCTGGGTGCACCACGGACACCAGATCCCCCAGGCTCTCTGAGCTCCAGCGGCCGTGGAACTTTGAGTCGACGTCGAGACAAAAAACATAATTTGTGGAAGATTGTAGATCGAGTAGCAGAGAGTGGATAAGGTCCATCCTGTGAGCAGAGATCTCTTGCCAGCGAGAGAACGAGGGGACAGACCGGACCGAGACCTGTACCAAGATCAAGACTGGGTTAGACCAGAGAGAGACCAGAGAAAGGTGCAGGCTCATGCCCATTATCATCAGGAGATGGGTTCTTACCGGCCTCGTGGTCCGTATCTTGGGTACCTCTTCTGGTCGATCGGTGAAGACATAAATTTGAACATTGTAACCAACAAAGAAGAACTGCTCTGCCGTCACCAGGAAGTCTTGCAGGAACTGAATATATCTGAAAACAGAGACCAGGTTAGACCAGAGACTGGGGAAAGACCCGGTGTACACCTTACTTTCCCACAGCAAACACTGTTGCTGCGATTGTCAGGTTCTTGGGTTCAAAGATGGCGTCCAGAAGCATAGGGTCAAATGTTGACTCCCAGACAATTGGAGCAAGCCATGGCGTTACTGTGACGACGTCGTTGCGCCTGACAACAAGAACATCAGTCTTTTGAAGGAGGTAAGGAGGTTGAAGGAGGTAGGGGAGATAAGGGGGAGGTTGAAGGAGGTAGGGGAGGTAAGGAGGAGGTTGAAGGAGGTAGGGGAGGTAAGGGGAGGTTGAAGGAGGTAGGGGAGGTAAGGAGGAGGTTGAAGGAGGTAGGGGAGGTAAGGGGGAGGTTGAAGGAGGTAGGGGAGGTAAGGAGGAGGTTGAAGGAGGTAGTGGAGGTAAGGGGGAGGTTGAAGGAGGTAGGGGAGGTAAGGAGGAGGTTGAAGGAGGTAGGGGAGGTAAGGGGGAGGTTGAAGGAGGTAGGGGAGGTAAGGGGGAGGTTGAAGGAGGTAGGGGAGGTAAGGAGGAGGTTGAAGGAGGTAGGGGAGGTAAGGAGGAGGTTGAAGGAGGTAGGGGAGGTAAGGGGGAGGTTGAAGGAGGTAGGGGAGGTAAGGAGGAGGTTGAAGGAGGTAGGGGAGGTAAGGGGGAGGTTGAAGGAGGTAGGAGAGGTAAGGGGGAGGTTGAAGGAGGTAGGGGAGGTAAGGGGGAGGTTGAAGGAGGTAGGGGAGGTAAGGGGGAGGTTGAAGGAGGTAGGGGAGGTAAGGGGGAGGTTGAAGGAGGTAGGGGAGATAAGGGGGAGGTTGAAGGAGGTAGGGGAGGTAAGGGGGAGGTTGAAGGAGGTAGGGGAGGTAAGGGGGAGGTTGAAGGAGGTAGGGGAGATAAGGGGGAGGTTGAAGGAGGTAGGGGAGGTAAGGGGGAGGTTGAAGGAGGTAGGGGAGGTAAGGGGGAGGTTGAAGGAGGTAGGGGAGGTAAGGAGGAGGTTGAAGGAGGTAGGGGAGGTTGAAGGAGGTAAGGGGAGGTAAGGGGGAGGTTGAAGGAGGTAAGGAGAGCTTGGCGGAGGGGACTTACCCAGATGTGATGCTGGGCTGTTTGTACGTCAGGCTGAAACACAAAAGTTTAGTTAATATTTTTTATTTCTATTGTTCTCTTTTGTTCCAGCATCCGTCACTCAATAAAAGCACACCACTCAGAACAGTCTCCTGCAGTGTTCATCGCTCGTTTAAAACAGCAGTGTGTAATGTTTCCAACTGCACAAGCACTTTGTATGGGCAGGTGCAGTATAGTCTGAGCACTTTGGACACTGTGGTTTATTGTAGAAACACTGTTTTTAATTGTGGTCTTTCCCTGTTTGTGTTATTTGCAGTGTTACGAGTTACTGTAACAAAATTACAATTTTAGTAACGTAGTAGCATTATATTACAGTTACTACCTAAATACTTTGTTACGGGGGGCATTGAGTGAGATTTGGTTTACTGGTGGAGATATGCATACTATTTTAACTATATCTGTCAAAAAGATAAAAATTGAGTGCAAGCCTTGCAAGGGCAGCAAGCAATTGTCCACCGCAGCCTACTCATCCTTGCACCACCTCAAAGACCAAAATAATTGTAAATAATTGGATTGGACAGTACCAGCAACAGAAAAATCATTTGTAAACTATCTGGAGAAGTGCTACAGCAAGAATTTTTCTGGAAGTATTAAGTAGCCAACACAGGGGCTAGATCAAGGTCCAGGTCTGCCGGGTATATAAACAGAGACATAGTAGAAGAAGCGCTGTAAAAATGGCATCTTTTTGTGCGGTGAACGCTTGTAGCAACTGCGCAAATAGAGAGAACAACAAGAGTTTCTTCCGTGTTCCAACTGTGGTCTCATATAAAAGGAGTACACATTGGAAAAATCACTGGAATGAAGCGGGCGAGGTGGATCAAGGCTTTCCCAGATAAGCGCCCCCTGCAGGCCACCCCAATGAAACGCAACAATTTTTTCTGTTTTTTTTATTTCCAAAAATGCCCGAAATCAAGACTCTTGAGAAATATTGTATTAAATATTTCTCAATATATATATATATATTAGTACTCCCTTAGAATTGAGAGTCCCCCTCCCAATTAAGACTGTTACAACAACCGTACACCACACAGGAGGAGAGCCTTTTGACTCCAAAACAGACTTTACATGGTTTTCAATGGGAGCAAAACTGAGTTGTCCCACCTCTGCTCGTTCGCCCCCTACTGGCCAGTTTAATGAAACCCAAGAATACCACATCAGACAAGAGCCAAGATGGAGGTATAGCACACCAGACAAGAGCAAAGATGGAGGTATACCACACCAGACAAGAGCCACCACATAACCACAGGGTGTCCGAAACAGGGAAGCCCCATAAGCAAGTGGTTGGCAGAGTGTACAGGAACATCTGTGAAGAGTATGAGCTAAAAGCGCCGAGGTTACAATGGAGAACACCTCCAAAGGTGGTGGAGAATTAATCAAGAATTAGAATGAGAATTAGTGTCAGTTTTAGTCCCAACAAAACATTACATTCAAACTATTTGGTTCTTCTACACCAGACAATAGTAGGTTAGCGATGTTATTACCTTATAGAAGAACCAAATACTTATTCTACTAAGAAGGCAAAATCAGAAACAGAGTTTTAGAGACACACAAGAAAGACTAGGGTTAAGTTCTGACCGGGTCAGAGGGTGCAGTTGGGGGCCTGATTTCAGCTGGGGGTCTGAGTGCAGCTGGGGGTCTGAATGCAGCTGGGGGTCTGAGGTCAGCTGGGGGTCTGAGTGCAGCTGGGGGTCTGAGCTAGAAAACAAAAGGGAAAACAAGAGAATAAAACTTGTAAAAAAAATTCAAAACATTTGTTGTAGCTGAGTGTTTGTAAGGTTATGCAGTGTTCAGACCGCACGGTTCTCGGGTGTCAAAAACGCAGCCAAAGCGCCTAGTCGGACGCTTGTTATTGTTGACAGACGCTGTCACCGAACATTCTGGACGCGCATCTAAAAAAGTGGGAAGAGAGCGAAGCGACTTCAACTTCTCCTGTTCCTTTCTGCTCTTCTTTGCATGTGTCCCAGACTCTTCTCTTTTGCATACTTCCACAAAATAAACACATAAAGTACTAGTAGTTGCTCAAACATTACATATTTTGCGCTGGGAAATATTTACTATTGTGAAACATTTCAATAACTTACCCGAGACACCAACCTCCTCGCTAACCCTACTCCATTTCTGCCACGGTAGTTCTAGTCCGCGGGGTTATACAGCTCTGAAGGATCACGGACAATCAGCTTCTCCTATAATAGATCCATGTGTCCTACAGTTGATGATCTGTCACTACGACACTGTTGGAGAAAGCCCGATTGGTCGTAGCTCGCTCTGGCGTTGGCCGCGTTGGAGGCACGTCAAACGTTTGAAATTTAAAAACGAACAGCGTCCAGCACCAAAAGCTTGAAGACGCGCTGGACAGGAGGCGCTGGACGGGAGGCGCTGGACGGGAGGCGCTGGACGGGAGGCGCTGGACGGGAGGCGCTGGACAGGAGGCGCTGGACGGGAGGCGCTGGACGGGAGGCGCTGGACGGGAGGCGCTGGACGGGAGGCGCTGGACGGGAGGCGCTGGACGGGAGGCGCTGGAACGGGAGGCGCTGGACGGGAGGCGCTGGACGGGAGGCGCTGGACGGGAGGCGCTGGAACGGGAGGCGCTGGACGGGAGGCGCTGGACGGGAGGCACTGGACGGGAGGCGCTGGACGGGAGGTGCTGTGTTCACACCAAACACGGCCAAAGCCTCCGTTTGGCATTAGTCTTCACTGGTCACATGATGCAGTCCCCAGAGGTCACATGATACAATCTTCAGAGCGGTCACATGATGCAGTCCCCAGAGGTCACATGATACAATCTTCAAAGCGGTCACATGATACAATCTTCAGAGCGGTCACATGATACAATCTTCCGAGCGGTCACATGATGCAGTCCTCAGGTCACATGATACAAAATTTAGACAATCTGTGTGTGTTTATCTTTATGTGTGTGGTTGTTACTCTGTATGTGTGTATCTTCCTTGCCCCCGCCTCCTTGCTTTTGCTCCCCCTCCCCTCGTATGTGTTTCAGTCCACACAGCGGCGGCGGCGGCTTAGCTAGCAGCAGAGACTGTAAACATGCATGGAGGAAACACATTTGTCTAAAAAAAACACTTAATGTAGAATATGACAGAAGCGCAGGTGGTGTTGCGTCAGAGTCCGGCGGTGGACGTTGCACCTTTTGTCGTCATTCAGCACAATGAGAGACTGTAAACTTTGTACGCAGCAAAAGACAAAAAGATACAGATTACCGTGTCGAGGCACTACTTTGTGCTCTGTGGAGAGTTAGAGCCACACGCAATTATTAAAAAACTGTGGGTAAACGTTAGCCTGGCTCTGCCAGACCCTTGTAGTTCCGCCATGCTCCACCAGAGGCGTTTGGCTGAACCACATGGGTCTGGTATCGACGCCATAGCAATTATGGCCATTATTTTTTAATCGACCAATCAGGATTGCCGGTGTTACGTGGGGTTTGCACTGCCTCCTCAAGCTTCTCTCATGCAGCAGCGAGAGGAATCCAAGATGGCGGACGTAAAGTCCGCGAATCTTTTTAAAAGACTAAATACGATCGAATTAAGACACGGATGTCACTTTTAATGCAATTTGAGGCGAGATGTAGATGGTTCTATGTTGATATATTTGTGTTTTAAGAGTCAAATGTTCCTGTAAAGTTTGGTTGAAGCACTGGTTCAGTGTTCCTGTTTACACACTATGTACCAGGGTTGCCAGGTTTGGTGATTCCCGCATATTTTTTTCCAAGAGACTTGTAGGTATTAAATAAACAGAAAGACAATAAACAGAGTCATGATAGCCCAAGTTGATTACATTAAGTTTTTTGCCAAAAAATCATTTTGAGTGTTTTTTTTTTGGGTATTCTCACGGATTTTGGGTTGGAAAATCTTGCTGGGATTTGGCAACCTATGGGAGCCGTGTGCTTCGATGTGAGTGGTTGAAAGCAGACTTCATTCAAGATAACGGACAAGTGGTCTATCCAATCACATACAAGGATTTTTTTTACAAGGCCCTGCCTTCTGAAATCCAACCACTGTGGCTCAGTACCAGACTCATGTGTGAAGTGAGTCAGGCTAGGTAAACGTCCCTAAACCCGAAAAGTTATCACGAATGTTTAGTTTTGATAGCAGAGTTTCATTTTGACCCAGATGTGAATGGTTTATCTCCCAGTGTGTGTCAGATTCTTGTGTGTAGAGTTTTTGCACAATGAACGACAATTTGCAAATTGTGTTCAAGCAATGGGAAAAAAACTAATGTACAGTTGAAATGATAGTATGTAACTCTAAATGAATTACACATTTTAAGAATTGTAATAAATTGACCTCCTTGGCATATGGTTCGTGACAGGTGCTGAAAGCCCGTTGTGATAAGCGTAATCTTAGTATTTTACACACCTGAATTTCAAGCACAGAGTAAGTTGCCATGGGCAGCGCTTATTGATTTGAGAGGTCCGTTAAGAAATAATGACCGGTAGAACGTTTTGAAAATACATTGCATTGTACTGCTGCTGTGAGGAACTGTATCACAAATTATGATGAAATATTTAAATATATTCAAATATTTAAATTGATAATCTCTCCTCGCACGTCATGGACCATTGACCTGGCGCGTGCACAGAAAAGTAGGCGTAGACCAATCAGAAAGGAAGGGGGAGGAGCTTGGGTCACACAAAATGATAAACAGGAAATCGAAACAAATGGGACAGAAGCATTTTGTTCCTACTTGAACTGATTCCGCTGAGAGGTTCAATGAAAAAAACTTGATATTCAAAAGTGGCAAAAAAAATATTCAGTAGTTTTTGGGGGGGGGGGTCAAATATGTACAAGATATACATCGTATATAGAAAAATATACAGATTTGTTTTCTTCTCCATATCGCCCAGCCCTAGTGTGCGTCTGTTTCAGTGTGTGTCCAGCAGTGTGTGTCTGTGTTGGTCTGTAACTGAGTGTGCAAGTGTGTGTCTCTATGTCTCTGTGTGCGTGTGAGAGTGTGTAAGTGAGGTACAGTGTCTGTATGTGAGATTGCGTGTGAGCTTGTGCATAAGAGTGTGTGTAAAACTGTGTGTGTGCGCGTTTATGTATGTTTGTATGTACAGAAGTATTCAGTCAGTGAGGTGTGATCAAAAGTTGTGGCGGTTCCATTCCACTGTGCTGTGCTCGCCCTCCAGACATGGCCCTGAAGTCACTCACCTGAGCTGGCCATGTTCAGATATTTTCCAGAAGTTGTAGAACTGGGACACGTAGACCAACCTGCAGCAGACAATACTTCAGACCCATACTGTAGTAAAGTATCAGAATCAGAATCATTTTTATTGCCACGTAAGTAACAGGAGGTCACAGACTTGGGAATTGCTTTGGCTCAGTGCAACAGTCAGAAAGAGATAATAAAAATAAGAATAAAAAACACTTCTAAAGAATAAATTTAAATTTAAAATAGAGTTACAGTTACCATTTACAATATACAAGTGCACATGGTGCACACAATGTAAGGTGACAGCAGTACAGTGAAGTAAAGTGACGTATGATGGGCAGTAAAGTGACTTTTGTTGTATTTATAAATACGTGACATTCTAAAACCATGTGTTTTATGACCTGTCGACCTCTGAGTGGCAGGCCAGTCCTTTTTATTTAATTTTAGGGGTCTTCTTGGGGGACCAGCTAAATAACAGATGGGTTCTGCTGTTTGGATTTTGTCCCCCTAGCCTTGGCCCCTGCTGACGTCTGCACTATTCAACCCACTCCATCAAGAGTGGGTTGACGACTGGAGTCTGCCCGTCTACCCATTTGACATATGATAAGACACATAACCTTTCTTAACATATATTTACTTCATATTTTAGGTGATTTCATGTACTTAGATATTAGGTTAATTAGTGTGATGTGTTGTACTGCAATAGGTTTGTTTTTTAGGAAAGCGGGCTGTTGAGATTAATTAGGGGAGTTGTTTAGACAACAGAGATGGATCTCAGACCAAGTGACAGCTGCGTGGAGTGTTAGGTTAGAAAAGCATGAATCCTTTTTTAGGTGCGGACTGGAGACGAGAAGACCAGATGGGGGAAGGCGGATCACGGGACCCGGAAGCTGCCTGATACCACGCCCCTTCTTCCTCATGCACATTTACTTATAGTGAATAGCTTGAATGTGTGAGTTTAGTTTTTTTTCCGGACCAGGGACAGTAGTGTGACCTGATGTGGAGCGCCCACGCAGAGTTATACTTTTATACTTTATATAGAGAATAAGGGATAGTTACTTTTGGTCCGAACAGCTGTTTTAGATTCTTTTTGTATTAGGGAAATAAACCTTTTTGAATTTAACTTTCTGAATCATGGTCATCTTTATAAGGGATTTTGAACACGTCATTTTTTAATACGTTAATTGGTGACCCCGGACGTGATCCCTTGATGACTCTCAATCTCCCCCTGGACTCTACGTCTCTCCTCAAGCGGCCGCTGAACTGAAGGTAAGCAGATACCTTTTGACTAATTAAAAATCTGCATATTGGACTAAACAAATCAAGGGGAGAGAAGTTTTGTCCACGGAGGAGCTAATTCAAAAAGTAAAAATAGTAAAAGCCTAAAAAGTAGTGAGAGCCTTGCGAAAATACGTTAAAATTAAATAAAATAGGAGTCTAAGTAGTTAGAACCCTGCGAGAATATATTAAAAGTAAAGATTTTTTGAGAAGCCTTGCCAGAAACAGGAAAGCCCGCTGTGACTAGCGTGGTTGACGGACGCGTCAACACACAAGTTAGGTTTAACCCATTGGAGCCTGGGGGAATTTTGGGCCCCCCCGAAAAATGGAGACAGGCATTCAAATCGAGCAGCTCTATAGAGAAATAGAGGCTCAGATTTTGAGTGGTCTGGATAAAGAACATAGGAACAAGGCAAAACGAAAGGCTGTGAAAGCATGGGAAAAAATACAGAACAAAAGGGTCATACCTGAGTATATGACAGCGTCCGCATTAGCTAAGATATTGCGGGAAGAGGAAAATAATTTAAAACAGGAGAAACAAGTGCTCGAGGGAAAGCAGGGAGAGAGTTGGAATAAGCGTAGAAAAATTAAGAAGGAACTAAAAAAGGCTGAGAAACTGAGGACCAAGGTACACAACTTTGCTCTGGCTGCCACGGCGTTGGCAAAATTACCTATGGTAAGTAAAGACAAGGAAACAGAAAACGGAGCAATGCCGGTGAGTAATATATACCCATCCCTACCCACGGCTCCACCAAAATATTCTCTGGGTTTAGAACCAGGTAAGCCAAATCTAATACTGCCACAATATACATTTTCAGGAGAAGTGGCGGTAGGAAAGAGAGGGGACAATGATTTTGTAGACAGTGAATTTGACGAAGGGACAGAACAGGAGTCTGTGGGGGACAATAGAGATCCGAGTCAAAATCCAGCTGTCAGCCTCCCGCCACAGCTCCCACACACCCCTCACCAACCCCCACCCATTCAAGAGGTGCAGGAGCTCCTCCTGCACTCTCTCAGAAATATTAGAGCTAGGAAACCGACCTTTGAATGCACCACAGACAGAGTTGAGAGAGAAGAAACCCCAAGTAGGACCCATGATTACGAGACCGCTAGACAGGAGAATGCAAAATTAATTAATAAAGCCGCACGCAGAGCCATGACTAGGACGGACAGTGAAAATGAAAAGGGAGACGGTGCCATGGCCCCACCAGCAATTAAAGCTAAACAGGCTAAAAAAGGAGCTAAATTCTCTTCTGACGATAGTAGTGATGACAGAGACCAGGAGCCTGAGGGAAATAGACCAGTTGCAAGCAGAACCAGGTCTCAGACAAAATCCATGTTCCCTCTGAGACCAGGACGAGGCGCAGCTGGGGAGTACCATCCTTTTTCTGTAAGTGACATGCAGACTATAAAAGACAAAATGCCTCCATTGTGCCAGGGAGCTGGAAACTGGATTTCCAGTCTCAATACATGGTTTACAGGTCATGATGTGGCGATGGGTGACGTCCGGGCAGTGTTGGCAGCATGCAGTAAACCATGGGAGAGAGATGCTATTGAAAGACAAGCTGGTACTGCTGATGTTTGTGATTCTTCCAGATTTGGCCAGTATGCAAATGCCTGGTATGAAGCACTGAGGGAGAACTTTCCAACCCCGCTGTCTTCTGCCCCTCGCTGTCCATTTCAACCTCTCCGAGTGGAAAAGAAACGGCTTCTTGACTGCTAAAGGCCGACCCATCACACATAGAGCCCTGGTGGAGAGGCTGGACAGCGCTCTCCAGCTTCCAAAACAGGTAAGCGTCATCAAGTGCCAAGGGCACTCCAAGTCAGACAACTTTGAGGCCAGGGGAAACGAGGCGGCGGATGAGGCCGCAAAGAAAGCTGCCAACTACAAGGTCAGTACTCCAGGAGTGTTTGTGGTTCGGGACGAGGGGCCAGACCTGGCAGACTGCCTGCCCGATCTATCCCTTCAGGTTTTAGCTGAAGCCCAAACAAAAGCAGCTCCTGAAGAAATATCCATGTGGGTTCAAAAACGGGCAAAGAGGGATCGAGATACTGGCATCTGGTACGGCCCTGATGGCCGCCCCGCCCTGCCCATGGGGGACCTCTCACGAGCGGCTTTATCTGAGGCACATGGGCTAGCCCATGTGGGTCAGGTACAGATGCTCAGGAATATGTCACAATGGTGGCATCCCTTTAAGACAAGCATGATCCAAGATTATACTAGGTCCTGTCAAATATGTCAAAATTATAACCCATCGCCCTGCTCAGCTGTTTCCCCAGGAAAATTCACACCTGCTGCTTGGCCTGGAGCACATGTTGTGATGGACTTCACAGATATGATCAACAGGTGCGCAGGAAAGCGGTACCTGTTGGTCATCACTGACACCTTTACGGGATGGCCTGAGGCATATCCTGCTGCAAAGGAGGATGCTGCCTCTGTAATCAAAGCCTTAATTCAGCATTACATCCCAACGCATGGCTTTCCCCAGTTAATAAGGTCTGACAATGGGACGCATTTCAGGAACAAACACTTGCAGTTGGTAGAGAAACATCTGGGGCTGAAACATAAATTTGGAACAGTCTACCATCCTCAATCCCAGGGCCGAGTTGAAAGGATGAATCAGACCCTGAAAAGTAATCTCTCTAAAATCCTGGCAACGAGTAAATTGAATTGGCTACAGGCATTGCCTATTGCCCTGTTGTCAGCAAGGCACTCTGTTAACCGCATTCACCATTTCTCCCCATATGAGCTGTTAACAGGGAGGCCTATGCCAGGACCAGGAAACAGGGTGGTGCCTTTCACAAAAGACGACTCCCCAACACCCCCAGTGCGGGTGTACTGGGAACAATTGAGAGAAATGTTGTCTAGTTTTTCCCATCAGGTTGAAGGAAGTCTCGACCTCTGCGAGAAGGAGGCCTTGGAGGATCCACCAGCCTGGGTCCGTGTGAAAGTGTTCAAAAGGAAGTGGAACGAGCCCCGCTGGACCGGACCCTTTGAAGTGGTGGCCCGCACTCGCAAAGCTGTTCAACTGAAGGGACACGGGAACAAGTGGTTTCATCTCTCTCATACGAGACCATCTGACCCACCCTCGTAACCACGCTCACGGGTTGGACAGGGACTCACACACACGCTTACACTCCCTCTTAATATGTTGCCTTGGGACAGGGAGCCCTGGCCCACGACCAAAAGAGGGAGAGCCATCCTATGGGCTATCGCTGCAGTTGGTTTGGTCGTGGTCCTGGGAATTTTAACATGGGAAGTGTTAGAAAACACACAGCTAAGAGACAGGGCCAGACTTGTAACACAATCCAGTCTTTGGTCCAATAAGACTGACAGAAATAAAAGATCCATAGGAGAAGGCAGCGTTAGAGACTCTCTACCTACGATTGTGACAGTAAAATGCCCGGTGGGTGCGACAATTACAGCCCACATACCAATGGCAACAATCTTTCCATTATCCTTTCGACCTGACTACACACTCTACCTGTGTTACACACCGTCTACATGTAAATATGAGAGACATGGAAAAAGCTTTAGAGCATCAGTGGACTGCACCTGTGATGCTTGGGAGTATGCTATATCCAATACAGGTCCGGATTGGGGTTATAATAATGAACACAAATTGAAGGGACGAGTGATTCTGACTACAGACCACTCACAAACAACGGTGCTAGTCACTGTGAAAAATTGTGGGATTGATGTGAATGGGACTTACGTTATTGGACATTATCCAGGAGACATTAGACAATGGATTTCAATTGCCATACCCGAGGACAAGGAGCTAGACAAGGAGGCCATAGATAGTGAAGTATGGCAGGACAAACAGAACGTACAGGTGACTGCTGACTGGACTGTTTCTGAATTGTTAAAACAAGCAACTGGATATGGGGATAGAAACGCTTGGTTGTGGACAGTGGAACACATGTCAGCGGCTGCTGGCTTTGACGATTGTGTCGTGTGCTCTACTGCACGTCCCACTTTGTATACAGCCCCTGCTCCACTTTTCCCAGAAGATGTAGATGGTTATAATTGTATGATAAAGTTGTTTTGGCAAGAAAAAGACCTGACTGAGGAGACAAAGACAGCCCCTAGTAATTGTTCAATGTTTGAAGTATTGTTTCCAGAATTGGATTCAGAAATTCAGCCCCCTATGTTTTCCCACAGGAAAAGCAATTACACCTGTTTCCACTCACTCAATGGAGGGACGAGGCCGCGTCTCCAGTGGGGGTTCCTTCCAGCAGACTGGTGTGTCAACAACGTCACCCTGCCCAGTCCGGTCCACATGACCCGGACCAGAGGTGATTTGTATTGGTTGTGTGGAGATTTAAAACTTAGACATAGACTAATAAAAATTTTTACAGGCAGTTGTGCAATGGTGCGATTAATGATGCCCATTTCCATAATTGGCCATAAGCCATCCCTAGACAGTCCCCACCCACTGCATAGATTTAAAAGGGCAATCCCATTCCTAGATACTGGGAAAGATAATCCAACTTACATGGACTCTATAGGTGTTCCACGTGGAGTCCCTCATGAATTCAAACTGGTAGATCAAATTGCAACAGGTTTCGAAAATCTTCCAATAATTTCCGCTATTTTCCCTATTACGCCAAACAAAAATGTAGATAGAATTAATTTCATTTGGTATACTATGCTCCGGCTTGCCAATCACACAAGTGACGCAATAGAGGGATTGGCGGAGCAGCTTGGGGCCACCTCTCTGGTAGCATTTCAAAACAGAGTGGCTCTAGACATGCTATTAGCAGAGAGAGGGGGGGTCTGCAGTTTATTTGGTACAGAATGTTGTGTATACATTCCAAATAACACACATCCAGATGGATCAGTTTCCAGGGCTCTGGCTGGTCTCAAAATGCTGTCAGAGCAAATGCATGACGTTTCTGGAGTCCCGGAGAACCCACTGGAGGCGTGGCTGGACAGCATCTTGGGGAGGTAGAAGCATGTAATTTTGTCTGTTATCACAAGCCTTCCGGCCATCTTTGCAATAATAATGGTTGTAGGATGCTGCTGTATACCTTGTATACGTTCTCTTTGTGTTAAAGCTATAGACACCGCTGTTAACCCTGGACTGAGAGGTCAAATGCTTGCATTGGTTGAGGATTCCCCCGTCCCGTCGCCCGAGGAAGGTTATTGAAATGTGTGGCCTTTTTTTAATAGCGGCCAAGAGAGGGAATTGTTGTATTTATAAATACGTGACATTCTAAAACCATGTGTTTTATGACCTGTCGACCTCTGCGTGGGAGGCCAGTCCTTTTAATTTAATTTTAGGGGTCTACTTGTGCCAGCAACTAAACAACAGGTGGTTTCTACTGTTTGCCATAGCATTGGCCCCTGCTGACTTCCGCACTATTGAACCCTGCTGGAGTCTGCCAGTCCAGGCCAGTCTGCTACTCAGTTGACATATGATAATACACATAACCTTTCTTAACATATATTTACTTCATATTTTAGGTGATTTCATGTACTTAGATATTAGATTAATTAGTGTGATGTGTTTGTACTGCAATAGGTTTGTTTTTTAGGAAAGCGGGCTGTTGAGATTAATTAGGGGAGTTGTTTAGACAACAGAGATGGATCTCAGACCAAGTGACAGCTGCCCGGAGACGTAGGTTAGAAAAGCATGAATTCTTTTTAGGTGCGGACTGGAGACGAGAAGACCAGATGGAGGAAGGCGGATCACGGGACCCCGGAAGCTGGCTGATACCACGCCCCTTCTTCTTGCACATTACTTAATGAATAGCTTGAATGTGGTTAGTTAGTTTTTTGCGGACCAGGGGCAGTATATGGCTTGATGTGGAGCGCCCACTCAGAGTCATACTTTTAGATTTTATATAGAGAATAAGGGATAGTTATTTTTGGTCCGAACAGCTGTTTTAGATTCTTTTTGTATTAGGGAAATAAACCTTTTTGAATTTAACTTTCTGAATCATGGTCATCTTTATAAGGGATTTTGAACACGTCATTTTTTAATACGTTACTTTATAAAGGGCGGGGGGACAGGTTAAGAAGTGTTCAAGAGTCCAACAGCAAGTAGTAAGATAAGATAGACTTTTTTGATCTCACACTGGAGAAATGTCCACTGTACAGTGGTACTGTACAGCAGTACCACTGTACTACAGTAGTACTACTTTACTACAGGACGGTAGTAATTTACTACTGTAGTAGTACTGCACTGCTGTTGTTATGTTACAGCGCCGTTCAGTAGTATTGTAATACTACAGTACTGCAGAAGTACTGTAGCACACATTCGTCATAAACCAGTTATTACAGTGAGGCAGTAAAGCCTAGTGTATACTTGCGCGGCGCTGGTTCTGGTTGCGCTGGACCTACACAGCCACAGTTCCCCCTGGACTCATTATTTCATTAGTCATTTAACTGTGATGCTGTGAATAAAGACTCCGTTCTTGTTGGAAACATAGTTGTTATTGAATTGTACTCAGCACAAACGGCAAAACAATAAGTTGCAAATATCTGAGACCAAACATGGACGATTTACAAGTGCAGGAGGAATGAAAAAGAAACGATAAGCTACGAGTGCAGATTCAAACAAAGACTGGAACAGTGCAACAGTAACAACTGCACAGTTTATAAGTTATATATGAGTTGCATATGCAACAGAACCGAACAGTCCAAAGTCTCTGCGTATATCAGACTCTGAGCCTTGAACCAAAACTACTTTTCCTTCGGTTCCTTTGAAGCACGAAGCAATATGCTCTGAAGTGCCTCGTCCATGTCCCCAGCAGCCGCTACATGCTCCCTTTCAAAACACACACACGGACCAAGCAGGGGTGGCTACGTAAGGGTCTTGCGGTGATCCTTGCGTTGGTCAAGAGACGTCACTACCGTAAACTCCGTGGCACGCTACTATACACTAGACTTAACTGTGCCTCAACTTATTTTCTGGAGTTAGAGCTGTGACCTGTGACCTCCCCTTTGACCACAGCATGATGCCCTTGGCTGTATGAGTACTTTCATAATACTGTGATGGTCTGATGTTAACAACACTTACCCGATAACCAGAGACAGAAGCAAGACTCCAGCCACTGCCTTAGGAGGACAGGAAACCATCTCCTTCAGACCCGGATCAGTCCTCCTTCAGACCCAGATCAGTTCTCCTTCAGACCCGGATCAGTTCTCCTTCAGACCTGGATCAGTTCTCCTTCAGACCTGGATCAGTTCTCCTTCAGACCTGGATCAGTTCTCCTTCAGACCTGGATCAGACCCAGTTCACACCTTCCCTCTGAAACACAGACTTGATGAGAAGCAGGAGCACCTGGAGCTGACCGCCTATGAGAACTTTGCTCTTGCTCCTAGAAGCCCTTGCCCTGACTCCTCCCCTTGACTGAACCCACACCAAATGCATACACACATTTATTTTTCTGTATTTGTCTTGGGTGAATGAATGGGTGGTGCTGCTTGTTGTAAGAATGCTAAACGACCTGACCTTGATCAAATACAGGGTAGTAAACACTGGGACATATTTGAATAAATCAGAGTTTAGCTGAATTAATCGCTGGTCTCTCCCCCCCTCTGGTCTCTCCCCCCCTCTGGTCTCTCCCCCCTCTGGTCTCTCCCCCCCTCTGGTCTCTCCCCCCCTCTGGTCTCTCCCCCCCTCTGGTCTCTCTCCCCCTCTGGTCTATCACCCCCTCTGGTCTCTCTCCCCCTCTGGTCTATCACCCCCTCAGGTCTCTCCCCCCCTCTGGTCTCTCCCCCCCTCTGGTCTCTCTCCCCCTCTGGTCTCTCTCCCCCTCTGGTCTCTCTCCCCCTCTGGTCTCTCCCCCCCTCTGGTCTCTCCCCCCCTCTGGTCTCTCCCCCCCTCTGGTCTCTCCCCCCCTCTGGTCTCTCCCCCCCTCTGGTCTCTCTCCCCCCTCTGGTCTCTCTCCCCCTCTGGTCTCTCTCCCCCTCTGGTCTCTCCCCCCTCTGGTCTCTCCCCCCCTCTGGTCTCTCCCCCCCTCTGGTCTCTCCCCCCTCTGGTCTCTCCCCCCCTCTGGTCTCTCCCCCCCTCTGGTCTCTCTCCCCCTCTGGTCTCTCCCCCCCTCTGGTCTCTCCCCCCCTCTGGTCTCTCCCCCCCTCTGGTCTCTCTCCCCCTCTGGTCTCTCTCCCCCTCTGGTCTCTCTCCCCCTCTGGTCTCTCTCCCCCTCTGGTCTCTCTCCCCCTCTGGTCTATCACCCCCTCTGGTCTCTCTCCCCCTCTGGTCTCTCTCCCCCTCTGGTCTATCACCCCCTCTGGTCTCTCTCCCCCTCTGGTCTATCACCCCCTCTGGTCTCTCCCCCCCTCTGGTCTCTCCCCCCCTCTGGTCTCTCTCCCCCTCTGGTCTCTCTCCCCCTCTGGTCTCTCTCCCCCTCTGGTCTCTCTCCCCCTCTGGTCTCTCTCCCCCTCTGGTCTCTCTCCCCCTCTGGTCTCTCCCCCCCTCTGGTCTCTCTCCCCCTCTGGTCTCTCTCCCCCTCTGGTCTCTCTCCCCCTCTGGTCTCTCTCCCCCTCTGGTCTCTCTCCCCCTCTGGTCTCTCTCCCCCTCTGGTCTATCCCCCCTCTGGGTAGTAAACACTGGGACAGAATCTTCTGACACATTTTAGTGGTAACCTCCTCTGGTCTCTTTGGTGTATCTGGTCTCTCCCACCCACGCACAATTGCCTAGTTTTACAATAGTTTTTTTTTGTGTTACTGCATTGACTGTACTGTAATGTTTACTTTAGTACTGTAATGTAAAGTATACTGTAGTACTGTGATGTGAAGTATACTGTAGTACTGTGATCTGAAGTATACTGTAGTACTGTAATGTAAAGTATACTGTGGTACTGTGATGTGAAGTATACTGTAGTACTGGAATGTAAAGTATACTGTGGTACTGTGATGTGAAGTATACTGTAGTACTGTGATGTGAAGTATACTGTAGTACTGTGATGTAAAGTATACTGTGGTACTGGGATGTAAATAGTAACCTGTGATATTATTTGTAATCTTTCATTTTTGGTTGTTGGTAAACCTTTGTTGAGAATAAAAACAGTTCCATTTAGCTTCACATGAAAAACAAAAACTGAAAATGAAAGACTGCAGTGTTTTTTTTATAAAGTACTCTAGCAATTTATATAAAGTACTTTGCTTGTTGCTTTCAATCTGAAAGTGTGTTCACATGATACAAATGTGTGTCATTTTGTCCTCAATGTTTCCTTTTGACAAAGGAATGTTTAGTTTTGAGAGCACAGTTTGAGTTTGACCCAGATGTGAATGGTTTATGTCCCAGTGTGTGTCAGGTTCTTGTGTGTAGAGATATGAAGTTTAAGCACAAATTCAGAATGAGAAGACCACTGCTGCAGTCTCTCCTCTCTGGTCTCTCTCCCTCTGGTCTCTCTCCCTCTGGTCTCTCTCCCTCTGGTCTCTCTCCCTCTGGTCTCTCTCCCTCTGGTCTTTCTTGTCTCCCCGGTCTCTTACTAGATTCTGCAGTTAATCTCTGATTGGATCAGATCCAATGTGAGTCAGAAATATGTCCCAGTGTTTACTACCCCCCAGCTCTCACCCAAGCCCTGATGATCCAAGATGGCGCCGTATTCAAATGAATGGTTTGTTCTCAGTGGCGCATGTGCCAGCACGGTCTCTGACATATTAGCGGATCTCGCCATATCCCTCGCTATATTTGGGCATCGTCTGGTCCTCCCGGTTCTGCGCAGTGGATTATCTCCCATGATGCGTTGCGCCAAATACGCGTGTGTGGCTTTCATGCATGTGCACAGAGGGGCTCGGCCGCGCTCTGACCAATCAGAGCAGTTCATCAGAGCGGGAGCCAGACGAGCAGAGTTTGTGGCACTAAAGTGTGGATTTAAAGAAAAAAAGTTCAGGATGAATAGGGACAGTAAAATCCCCACAAATGCCGACCTTTATGAAAGCTGTAGGTTCTCTGTCAGGTTCTCTGTCAGGTTCTCTGTCAGGTTCTCTGTCAGGTTCTCTGTCAGGTTCTCTGTCAGGTTCTCTGTCAGGTTCTCTGTCAGGTTCTCTGTCAGGTTCTCTGTTGGCTGAGGTCACGCTGTTTTAGTTTACATTGAGTTCTATGGGGGAAATTTCTGGGTAGCCCATGTGAATTTTGTCTGGTCTAGTCTGCAGTACCGCGAGAATCCCCTGAGCACACGAGTTCTTCAGCTCCAAGCTAGTACTACCCTATCCAGTTATTATAATAGATCCATGCCCTCACCCATCCAGGGCCAGCCAATCACGCAATTCTGCCAGCCTCTCGAGCCTCAGCCAATCACTCAGCTCGGCCAGCCCCCCTGTCAACAGCTAAGCAGGCAGTTTAAAAAGCAGCTACTTCCTTCTGACCAGCGCTTCCTGACGCTCTTAACATGCTCACTCCAGCTCAAGCTGCTTATAATATATATATACATCTATATATATATATATATATATATATATATATATATATGGGCTGTCAAACGATTACAAATTTTAATCAAGTTAATTACAGCTTAAAAATTAATTAATCGTAATTAATCGCATTTCAAACTATCGACAAAATGATGCCATATTTTTGTGTAAATGGTTGTTTGAATGGAAAGATAAATGACAGCTTAGTGAACATATGTACTGTAGTAGTATATTTTAACAATAAATCCACATAAAATGGCATTAACATCTGGTAATCAATCCAGGCTGTGCACAGGTTGGTGTGTCGTGACCGGCAGTCTTGGGCGACGGTTCTGTCAACCAGGAGCTGGTGTTTGGCTCCTCTGGTGTCTCTACCAATGCCCTTCTGTGCTGTGCTCATGAATTGTTCCATATGCCCACTTATCTTAGCCGCAATGATGCCTGACATGAGCTTCCATGTTGTGGAGAGACAGGTTATTGGCCGGTAGTTGGAGGGGACTGCACCCTTGGTCCCCACTTGCTATACACGTGGGTAGCTTTAGCAGCGTGCTAGCTTAAATACCCTTAGCATTGGAGCATGTGTGGCGTAGCCTAGTTATTGCATTCAGGTCTCCATGTGCTTCCAGTTAGCATTGTAGGATCATACGATGCAACTAGTCTTTCAGCTTGTTGACACCATCTGATCAGTGTTGGCTTTTATTGTTAGCATTGTAGTACGTGTTTATTGTGTATAGGTATAAATTGCTTAGCATTAGCCACCGTACACGTTTTTAGCTTCAGCATTGATGCACATGTGTGGAGTCTCCCCCAAAAGTGCCCGGTGACTTGACCTACATAGCTAGTCACCGGGCACTGACAAAGATTTTTGGAGGAAGATCAGACATACATTTCCACTATTTTGCTGACGTGAACACTTTCCATTCAAAAAATATATAAATTTTATCGAGACTAATTACGCACCCTGTTGAATTTATGGCATTAAAATTACATTTGGAAGCATTAAATGTGACTTGCTATTATCTGTATAAAACCTGTATTATATTTAATAGTTTTGTTTTTTAGATGAATGCATTACAGTCAAAAGCGGAAGGACAAGGTATTACCAATCATAGAAAATATCAGAAGGGATCAGAAGGGATTGTCATTGTGAATCAGGTTGTGGGAAAAAATTGAGGATTATGGGTATGTATAGAAATACAAATATTTAAACTGTAATCAAAATTATGACATTATTCAATTGCTTCTACTTTGGCTGTCCACCGGTCCCTGTTCGGATCAAGTAAGCCCTCGGACTAGTGACACTGTTCCCGTGCCTGAGGGATCCGTTTTCAGAGACAGGATATGTAAGTGAGGTTTACTTTGTGTCTGTTGATTTTATTTCAATATGTCTAAATTCATTATGCACCTCCAGTAGGCACCACAAAGTACATAGTGTGGCGCTTGAAGACATGTAAACGCAATATGGTCCCACAGTCAAAAAGACTATCGAAAAGTTATGACCGATACAGATAATAGCAAGTCACATTTAATGCTTCCAAATGTAATTTTAATGCCATAAATTCAACAGGGTGCGTAATTAGTCTCGATAAAATTTGATAAAATTTATATTTTATGATCATGGAGAAAATGATGTCTACATTTCAGTATTGCCAGTCTATGATCCATGATGAAGTAGGGTCCCTTTCAGTCCTGGATGTCTTCATAAGATTCCTTGATACACCGGTTCTGGTAAGGGAAGCGTAATGTTGTCTCCCAATTGCATAAGTATGTGAGACTGATTTATTTCCTTATAGATAGAACAAGACTTAGCAATGATGTTTGGGGAGGAGGTTTCTGGGCGATTTCTGTCGAAGTGGCCCACTTTCTTCAAAAGTCGGGGCCTGGAGGAGTGTAAGGGCTTGTATTGCAGTGATCGTGTGAATGCACTTTTAACTGAAGATGGTAAGTTTTTTGTTATTCTTCTTTAATTTTTTGTGTATACATTTTCTGACTTCTCTGTACTGCTAGGTCGGGATAGTGACTTAGTGTCAAGTGTGTTGCTTTTAGTACGCATGCTTCCACCTGCTCCCAATGGCATCAAGAATAGTGCTGCACAAGCAATCAGGTCTGTCATTTTCAATTTGCATGTAGTTTCAAATTAAACAAGTTATATTCAGTTTTTACTTTTGATCCAAACTTTGATCAGTCAAGGTCTTGAACTCATCTAAAATTTGCACTTTTGTACATATTAATTCACTAGGTACTACTCTATAAAAAAAATAAACTAACCTGAATAAATCAACTAAATAAAACCATAAATTTGAAAACACAGAGTGCCCATTTCTTTTATGACATAAACCCCGGCTAAATTTAAAATGGCAGTGTCGTTTCAGGCAGATAACCTTGTTTTGAGTTTCCTGCTGAGGTGAAAAACAGTTACAAATAAATGGGCAGCTCCATCAGTCTTATTTTTTGCCTGAAAGTTCAGATTTTTCAAATCTGTTACACTGATTTAGATTTTTGGATGTGCATGTTAATTAAGTTTCACTTCATTGATGTATTATTTTTTCTGCTGTGTCTTAATTGCAGAAAAACCACAATATTTGCAATGACAAAATTACAATACCTAATGTTTATGCATTGTTGATCATGGATTTGAGTTCATTTGTTTATTAGATTGGTGTCAGCATTGAAGTCTTCCTTGCTGCACTTGAGCCTGGACAGCCTCGTCTACTCTGCGTGGGTCAATCAAAAAACAACATCCAGAAGTTCGAAGATTGTAAACATTGTTTTTTCCCAGTGATAACTTAAGGCATGAAATACTTTTTGAAACATTTGTTGTTTCCACAAAAAAGATTAATTCCGAAACATTTCCTTAATTGTTCATTGTTTCCTTAAAATATCCTACATGTGCGGTGCATGCGATTCGAAGCTAAGCATGATTTTTTCAAAAGCTCTTTTAAGCACTTAAAAAATCTAACTAAATCATTAGTCAAACAACACCAGAGACGACTTTCTTACCATTGGGAGAATTTCAACTTTGAACGATTTGAATTTGGACCATTAAAATGTGTTGTGGTTAATGGTCTGGAAGGAGAGGAGGCTTTGTGTTCTTTTTTTGATGTGAACAGTTTTGCTGAAGTCTAACAAACTACTACAAACTGGGTAAAGCCATGGAACGGAGTTTCATATCGGTGTGCTTGTGTTTGCTCAGAAAGTGTCATTCCAATGTTCAGTAATATAGTGAAGACGGTGATTAAAGATGACAAAGCATTTCTTTTGATGTGCAAAATAGACACACGGTCTCTGTCTGCTTCATTCCTGACAAAGGTGTTAAAAAATATGTGTTAAAATATGTGAGTTAATTTCAACTCATAATGTGTGACATTTAACCATAAAAGTGTGCGGTAACTCTTTGTTGGTGTTAAACATTAACACTTTGAAAAGTTATTTTACATCAATCGGGTGTGGACCACTATTAACATTTTTGAAGTGTTGGAAATAACTCGTATAGAGTTAAAGTAACACAGGGAGAGTTGCTGTGTGTGTATTTGTGTGTGTCTGTGCGAGTGTGTAAGAGGGGTACAATGTGTGTGTCTGTTTGTGTGCGTTTCACAATTTATGTGGCCGCGAGTGGTCCCGCCCACATAGGCGTGACTCTGTCCGTTAATATATACAGTCTATGGGGCATACGTGTGGGTGTGTGTGTAGGGGTATTCACAGTCAGTGATGTGTTATCAAAAGGTGTGGCGGGTTCCGTTCCGTTGCTTAGAGAGTGTGTGCGCATCTCAGTGTGTGTGTGTGCGCAAGTGTGTGTGTCTGTGTGCGCGTGTGTGTGTGTGTGTAGCAGCATTCACAGTGAGTGATGTGTGATCAAAAGTTATTGTTTAGACCTGGCTCAGTCCCAGTCTCACTCAGCCGAGCCGGTTCTGATCAGATATTTTCCAGAAGCTGTAGAACCGGGACACGTAGACCAACCAGCAGCAAATACTTCAGACCCAAGAGGACAGGAAACCATCTCCTTCAGACCCGGATCAGTCCTCCTTCAGACCCGGATCAGTCCTCCTTCAGACCCGGATCAGTCCTCCTTCAGACCCAGTTCACACCTTTCCTCTGAAACACAGATTTGATATGAAGCAGGAGCACCTGGAACTGAACACATATGAGAATTGACTCCTCCTTCTGACTCCTCCTTCTGACCCCTCCTTCTGACCCCTCCTTCTGACTCCTCCTTCTGACTCCTCCTTCTGACTCCTCCTTCTGACTCCTCCTTCTGACTCCTCCTTCTGACTCCTCCTTCTGACTCCTCCTTCTGACCCCTCCTTCTGACTCCTCCTTCTGACTCCTCCTTCTTATTCTTACTCCTCCTTCTGACTCCTCCTTCTTATTCTTACTCCTCCTTCTGACTCCTCCTTCTGACTCCTCCTTCTTATTCTGACTCCTCCTTCTTACTCCTCCTTCTGACCCCTCCTTCTTATTCTTACTCCTCCTTCTTACTCCTCCTTCTGACTCCTCCTTCTGACTCCTCCTTCTGACTCCTCCTTCTGACTCCTCCTTCTGACTCCTCCTTCTTACTCCTCCTTCTTACTCCTCCTTCTGACCCCTCCTTCTGACCCCTCCTTCTGACTCCTTCCCTTCACTACACCCACAGTTCAATCAATCAATCAATCAATCAACGTTTATTTGTAGAGCGCCTTTCCTACACAAGGCAACGCAAAGCGCTTCACATCCCCTATCACATCATGCATAAATCAAACACATTAAGAGCACAAGATATATTAAAAACATTAAAAATAAAATCACAAAAATTAAAAACCTTTAAACATTAAAATCACAGATGGGACTAAAATCATAAATAGTCACAGTGCATTAAAAAGATTAAAGATAAAAACAAAGATGAAAAGATAAAATCATTCAGTTGTATATGCGCAGCTAAACAGAATTGTTTTGAGCCTAGATTTAAAAGATGCCAGAGTAGACGCCTGTCTCACATTCTCAGGAAGACTGTTCCAGACTCTAGCCGCATGAATCTGAAATGCAGTTTGCCCATGTCTAGTACCGACTCTGGGCACTAACAGGAGTCCAGTCCCTGTGCTCCTCAGAGTCCGGGTCGGTTCATATGGCACAAACATGTCATGGATGTACCTTGGCGCGAGACCATGGAGAGACTTGTACACAAGTAAAGCTGCTTTGAAGTCTATTCTCTGAGGAACAGGAAGCCAGTGCAGAGACCTGAGAACTGGACTAATGTGGTCGTACTTCCTAGTTCTGGTCAGGACTCGAGCTGCTGCATGTTGAATGTACTGCAGCTGTTTTACAGCCTGTTTGGACAGACCTGTGAGCAGGCCATTGCAATAGTCTAACCGACTGGAGACAAAAGCGTGTATAAGAGTCTCCAAGTCTGCCTTAGACACTATGTTTTTAATTTTAGCAATGTTTTTTAGGTGGTAATAAGCTGCTGATGTTACAGATTTTATGTGGCTTTTGAAATTTAAGTCTGAGTCCATTATCACTCCTAGATTTCTGACCTGATTTGAGGGTTGTAGAGAGAGAGCCTGGAGGTATATAACAAAATAATATATATAATTTAATATATATATATAATTTAATAATTTAATAAAGTATAATAAATAAGAGAGGTAATAACGCTCTCTCTTTGTTTCTGGGGTCCGAAAACAATTATTTCAGTTTTGTCGGTGTTTAGTTGGAGAAAGTTATTTTGCATCCAATCACCGATTTGCTGGACACAGTGAAGGAGCGAGTCCACTGGTTCATGCTCTCCTGCTGTCAGGGACACATAGACCTGAGTATCGTCAGCGTAATTGTGATAAGAGACATTATTACTGTGAATCAACTGACCTAGAGGCAACATGTAAATATTAAACAGAAGAGGACCCAGGATTGACCCCTGTGGCACTCCGCAGGTCAGGGCCAAGTGGTCTGAGGTACAGTTTTCGATCTCCACAAAAAACTTTCTGTCTTGTAAATAGGACCTAAACCAGCTTAGGGCGGTGCCAGCAACACCAACCCAGTCCTCAAGTCTCTGAATGAGGATGCCATGATCAATAGTGTCAAAAGCAGCACTTAAATCTAACAGAAAAAGGACTGAGACTTTTCCTGCGTCAGTGTTTAGTTTGATGTCATTTGTTACCTTTATTAGCGCGGTCTCAGTGCTGTGGTGGGGTCTAAACCCTGACTGGAACATATCATAAGCGTTATTGATTATTAAAAATTCTGTAAGTTGTTTATAGGCAACTTTTTCTAGAATTTTTCCCATGAAAGGCAGATTTGAAATGGGCCGATAATTTTTGAGTGCCAGGGCTTCCAGACTCCTCTTTTTTAGGAGGGGCCTGATGATCGCCGTTTTCAAGGCCATTGGGAATGTTCCAGATTCAAGAGACATATTAACTATTTGTGTAAGTGAAGGTAAAAGACTGCTCAGAACTGACTTGAGAAATCTAGGAGGTAATACATCCAGGCTGCATGTGGAGGAACTCAGACTAGTGATTATCTCCTGGACAGTTTCAATTTGTACTGGTGTAAAGTGCGTCAGCCCAAAAAGCCTCACTGGCGGTTGGATTATTATTTCTATCGTGGAGGTGATGGCGTTTTTGATACCTTGGACTTTGTCATTAAAGAACTGAGCAAACTCATTACATTTAGATTTGGAAGTAAGTTCTGATGGCATCTTAACAGGGGGATTCGTCAATCTATTTACTGTTGAAAACAGAACACGTAGATTGTTGCTACAGCCTTCAATAGTTTCAGAAAAGTACATTTCCCTCGTTCTACGTAGTTCCCTGTTAAAATTGCACAACGCATCTTTGAAGATCTCATGGTCAACTTTGAGATTTGACTTTCGCCACTTCCGCTCGGCCTTCCGGCACTCTCTCTTCTGTGCCCTGACCGAGTCTGCTTTAGTCCATGGCGCTTTTTGCTTGTTTGTAACTATTTTAACCTTTACAGGAGCAATTGTATCCAGAACATTCAAAACAGTGGTGGTGACAGAATCAAGTAATTCATCTACAGTAACACACAACGTGTTCTCAAAGTTTACCCTCCCCATGAACAGTTCGCCTGTATTATCATTTATGTGTCTTCTTCTAACAACCGAAGATTCAGCTGGTGGTTTACAATCAAGACACATGTCAAAAAATACACAGAAATGATCAGACAGAGCAACATTGACCACTTTACATTTGAAATATTAACCCCCTTGGTAATTAACAGATCGAGAGTGTGTCCTCTGCTGTGGGTGGGGCCACTCACATGCTGAGTGAGACCAAAGGTTTCCAGCACAGAGCTCAGCTCTATTGCATATCTATCATTAGCATTATCTACATGTATATTGAAATCACCTACAATGACCAAACCATCAAAATCTGTGCACACAACTGAAAGCAACTCAGTGAAATGATCAGTGAAACTATGGCATGACTGTGGCGGCTTGTACACAACAATAATAAGAATGGAAGAAGATTTCTTTTGTTCTATTTTAAAAGAAACATACTCAAATGATGAAAATTTCCCAAGAGACACTCTATGGGAGACAATACGATCTTTAAAAACTGCTGCTATGCCCCCCCCCCCTTTTATTTTCTCGTGTTTTCATATTCAAATTTGAAATTTGGTGGTGAGGCTTCTATTAAAACTGCATCTCCTGTATTATGGTCAAGCCATGTTTCAGTCATAAACATAAAATCAAGATCATACGAACAGATAAAATTATTAATTAAAAATGATTTGTTGCATAGTGATCTGACATTAAGTAGAGCAAGGTTAAAATTAATATCAGTGTCAATGGGTTTAGTTGATTGATTACAAAGAACTGGAATTAGATTTCCAGAGTTGGACCGTCTAACTGCTGTCCTTCTTTTAAATTTGTGTTTATTCAAGTTAAAACACATTTCTGAGCTGGTGCGAGAAACACACACAGTCTCTATTGGTTTAAAAAGTGAACTCTGTTGTACTTTGTTAAGTTCCAGATGCATAACTGAGTCAGCACAGTTCAGTGGCAGGACTGTCGTTACACTGCCAGACTGACAGGGGTCAGTGTTTGCACCACAGTACTCACCCGGTGCTGGTAAGGAGGAGGAGGAGGGGGGTAGTGGGGGCCGAGAAGCCTCGGATGTAAACAGTCACGCCCCCCTCGGGGAGCACTGAACAACATGGCGTAGGAAGTCCGTCAACAAACTGGTGCCGTATCTGTTCGGGTGCAGACCATCTGGACGATAGGCCACGTGACGCTTCCAGAACAGGCCAAAGTTGTTCACAAAAATAAAGTTAGAAGTGCTGCATGTAGACTGGAGCCACATGTTGAGCGCCACAACGCGACTGTACAAGCAGTCTCCCCGGTTTACAGTCGGGACTGGACCAGAGATAAAAACACACAACCCGAAGGACTGGAGGAGGCGGAATAGATCCATAAAATGCTTCTTTGTGACCTCGGACTGCTGCAGCTTCATGTCGTTGATCCCCACATGCACGATTACCTTTGAAATGGTATCAGGCAGGGACTGAAGCAGAGGAGGGAGACGGATGAGCAGGTCTGGAACAGTGGCTCCGGTAATGCAGTGAGTGACCGCGTTAAAAAAGCGGACGTGCCTCACGATGGAATCTCCAACAATCAAAGTAGTCGGGGCGAAGAGTGGACGCGGCCGCGGAGAGGGCGCTCGGTGTCCATGGCCAGAACCAGCGGGCTCATCCAGGGATGGGTCCGAACCAGGGCGCTGCTGAACACATGGAGGGGAGCGGGGGTGTTGATTCCCAGCTCCGGGCAACCCACGCTGTGTGCTCGGGGACGCTGGAGCGGCGTGAGGAGCAGGCTCGGGTCGCTGCTGCTGACCCGGTGAAGGTAAGTGGTGGTGATGCACTGGGGTCAGAGAAGGGGAATGACCACTCTTTCGTCTGAGGACAGCTTCCTTTAAGAGTGTCTTTCTCGCAGTGGACCTGGATCCACGGACAGCAGTAGAGTTTGCTGCAGAGTCCAGGGGTTCTGCTGAGGGGGCTGGAATGTCAGCGGAGAGGGCTGCATAGCGGTTTGACAGGCTCAGGACATGGGCCACGGCGCTGGATGGCTCCTCGCAGTCCGCAGGCTCTTTATTCCGAACCGGGCACTTAGGTGTAGAGCAAGAGGGCCCAGAGCTGACAGATCTCTCCCACACGACAGTGTCACAGTATGCAGCGCTCAGTGACATAAGCCGTGAGTGCTGCCCGCCAGCGACATCAAAAAGTTTGGACACGAGTGACTGTTTATCCTGCAGCTCTGCAGTGAGGCGAAGGACTTCTTTACGGAGGTCTGCAATAGTGGCACGGTCCCTCTCACGAAGCTCCAATGTGAGGCGACTAATGTCGTTCGTGGTCATTGCAGTGTCACTTTCCATGTCTGTGGTGCGCTCGTGGTAGCCTCCGAGCTAGCGCGTTTCGATTGGGTCTTTGTGTTAAAAGACGTGATGCTCTGGAACCATTAATAAAACACTAGAGTGTACAAAAGACACTAATACACCGTAAAAACGTGTTTAAAAGGCTTTAAAAGGCTTAAAAAAAAAGCTTGTGCATTTGTCACGCTCACAAAGTTTACCTGAAGTTTCCAGTTATAGTTTCCAAACTATAAAGCAGCTTGTGCAAAGACTGAGATTAGATTTAATTCATTCCTAGTGTTTTGTAACTGATGATGCAAAACTGACATTTCCTCACAGTGGGACGCACAAAGGATCTCTTCATCTTCATGTAAATTTGACTCCAAAAACATGAAAGTGGATTTTCTCAGCAACATTTTGGACATTTCCCCATTTCTCCCATTGTTTCTGTATCTAGGTGGGACAGCTATAAGCTAGTAAGACCCTATCCAGACATTATCATAGATCCATGGGGGAGGCGGCTCTCAGTGGAAGGAGAAACGATCCTGTGCATAAGATGGAATGTGAAAAATTAAGAAAACAACAACTCCACCCTAATCGGTGCATGAGCTCGCAACAAAGTATTTATTTTTCGCAATTGGAAACTTTTTTTGGCCAATTCGCACAAAATTTGGGTTGTTCCAACTCATGGGTCTACATCACCTGGATGTGAAAAAGTTAAATTACAGCATTAGTGCCCCCTACAGAGTCAGCCAAAGGAAGATCAGATGAGCATCAACTTTGCCTCGGCCGTTTCAAAGATTTGTCTCAAAATTGCTCCACATTATCTACACGCATGTAGCATCAAATGTTAGCAACAGAATTTTGATCTGTTAAAGCAGAAGCAATGAAATTTGAAAACTTTTGGTCAGCTGAAAGTGAAACACTTTGCCAAACCAGCCAAACCGTTATGCCATGCTGTTGGCATAATGGCTGCTCCACATACTGTAAACAAATGTAGCATCATAAGTTAGCGGATTTTTTTTAATCAGTCTAACAGTTGCAATAGGCTCTCATTTTGGAGTTATTTTGAGATGCAGGAAAGTTCCCATGTTATTCAATAGAGACACACTCACTAATCAAATGCATTGCAATGTTTACAATACAGTGTTTCTCCCGTTAGGGCTGTATGCAGATGGTGCGACAGCGCCCCCTCCTTTACGTGGTGTTGTGGCAATGCGCAGTGCAACATTGCGCGGTGCGTCGTTGCATGGTGTGGTACGCCGAGGGCCGTTTGACGCCGCTTGCGGCTTTAATTTACAATTACACTGCATTAATGAAAAGATTTATGATTCAAAAATACATGTAATTACTCGAAAGTGAATCATTCAGGACCATGTGTTAAAATTCTTGAATCCTTTGGAGAGATACATGAAAGGAGTGGCTAGCTACTGGCAGCTCCCGAGCGACGTAAAGTGACAGTGGAGTAGTGGACACATGTGGTTCTATATTGTACATTCATTGACATTATTCAAATTATTATTGCACAAATGAGTTAACAGAGGACACATGTGCTTTCACCGGAGAACACCCGCACTGACAGCACATTTCCCAAGAAAACACCTGAGCCTGAAGAGGACACTATTGGACCCTAACCGCATTATAGCCTCTACATATGAACTTACAATCGGACATAGTGTGCGTGCGTGTGCGTGCGTGTATCTAAGCAGGGACACTCATTACTGAAAATACTTGTAATTAAATTATGGTTAGCTTGTGTAAGCTCTAAATTATCGTTACTAGTAAAAAACTACATGTGTGTGTATCACTGAACGCCCTCACTTGGACGAAGCCTACGCAGACACGGGGAGAACATGCAAACTCTACTCAGAAAGACCATGTCTGGAGGTGGACTCAGGACTTTCTGTTGTGAAACACACTACTACGGGTTTAGTGCTATAGTTGTAAATATATTTCGACAAAAGTATTCGCTGTAAGAGGCTGTAACTAAGTAGTAATTACTTGATAGTTTCTAAGTAACTTTCCGAACTGTGGGAGTAACGTGTTAACCTCCAACACCACAGGAAACGGACCGATCCGGACCAATCTAGACCAGAGACCAGAGCAGGGAGCAGAAAGCAGGACTACGGCTCGGTCTAGATCGGTCTAGATTGGTCTAGATCGGTCTAGATTGGTCTCTGGTCTCTCTGGTCTCTCTGGTCTCTCTGGTCTCTCTGGTCTCTCTGGTCTCTCTGGTCTCTCTGGTCTCTCTGGTCTCTCTCTGGTCTCTGAATCTGGTCTTACCTGCTCGCCCGCACGATCCTGTTAAACGCGGAAGTGCTTTTGAGATCCACGCACAGAACACGCCTCACACATAAATCGTGTTTAAAGCTCGGGTACGTAACTTTAGACTCATAAACAACACATGTTTAAAGCTGAGGAACGTAACTCTTGTCTCATATATAACGTAATAATAAAACAGTGGGCACTGTCGTACTGCGCCCAGGGACCGGCCAGGGATCATCTCCAGACATGAGATCGGCTTGGTCAAGACTATGTGAGATTTCATAACACTTTTAAGCAACTTTTGTTAAAGTTAAACTCATCATTCTATCAATGTGCAGAAGCCTGTACTTTTCCCTTGTTTTGTCTATCTGAAGGCCAAGCTACATGGCACCGTGGAAGCTGCTGATTGGAGGTCTCCATGCCAACGCTCTGTATAATACACTTGCATTCTGTTGTTCGTGTTGTTCGTGCTGTCTCTACCATCGACAATAAAACATGTCTTCTGTCTGAATGAAAGACACGATCCCAGACTTTGTCATCTTGTTCAACTATAAGAGCTGGAGGAAAACATTGTGTAGGAGAAACCACAGGGAGAACATGCAGACTCCAATCAGAAAGAACTTATTCCGACTGGGATTCGAACACTGTGCCACTGTGCTGCCCCAACTGGAACATCATCAAAGCTGAGGCGGGGTCGATGCGATGACCCAGCCAGGGTCAAGCCAGGGGTCGAGGCGATAGGTGGGGGAGTGTTGTTGACTTCTTTCCTTACATTGTAAGGAAACAAGTCCCGAACTTCGTGGTCCCACATTACAGCATTACACGGACATTATAAACACATTTGTACATTTTGAGATAATTGTACATATGAACATATATAAGCATGTGGGCATTTATTTTCCACTATTTTATATTTTTGGTTGACAAATAAGTACTGTATAATATTATCATAGCACCCTGTACAATACTGAGTTTATTGCTTTAAGTGAAGATGCTTTAAGTATGTATTTTGTAAACCTGGTGTCCAGTTAATGACAAAACAAATATATCGTGTTGATTGAAAACAATTGTATTGGGTGAAGCAGTGACGCTACCCAGAATGCATTGCAGAGAATTAAAAAAAGTACAAAGTAGCCCTATACTTTCTGGGTCATCCACTGAGAGTTTTCTAGAATGATTTAAAAGTTACTTAGTTACCACGCTGGACTGAAACTAAGCTTTAATTGAGTTGTAACAATATTGCTTCTCAATCTGAGAGTTCTAGAGTTCAGCACTTTTAGATTACCACTGTTGAATGAGTTTGTATTGTTATGTTCATGGAATTTCTAAAACTACAATAGATTAGTACAAACAACTTATGAGTGAGTCTAGTGAGTGTTTATAAAGACTGTATTTAATGAACTTATATTGTTATGTTTATGGTATTTATAAAACTAATCTTTATTGAGGGAACGAGTTTCCTTAAGAAACATTAGTTTTGCCCACTATCCGGGTTTACAGTGTAGTGAGAGAGGGGAGAAAGAAAAGAAAGAGAATAGTAATAATAATAATAATAATTATTATTATTATAGTGCAAACATAGGAGGGAGGTGCTATAATCCTAGGGAGGGGGATGGTAATGTTGGGGAAGAGGATAGCAGAGCCAGATCGAGGCATACTAATGTTTTGGTAAGTAAGTAGGTAATCTTTATCCAGGCCAGAGTCACAAAGCAGTTTTCAGTTTTGGGCATTAGGCCAGCCTGCGTCAGCCTGCGTCAGCCTGCGTCAGCCTGCGTCAGCCTACTCCAGCGTCCGGTGGAGTCCTGGCCTTTTAGTCTTCTCACAGAGATGGGAGCGGGTGGTACTCTTCCAGCAGTATTCTTGCATAATGTGTCTTGTGATTGTGTGGTGCATTAAAAGTGCATGCTTGAGATGCATGTGGAAGAGAGCTTTTTTTGTTTTTTTTGTTTTGTTATTTATTTATTTTTATTCATTATCATTTCCTTCACTATTTATTCTTATTGCCTCCTCATCAACATATCATCATAGAATGTGTACATATATATATATATATATATATATATATATATATATTTGACATAAGGCAGGGGCGCAGTGGTGTAGTAGCAGGAAGAGAGAGATCGGGGTGCAAAATTCAAGATGACATAAATAGTGGTAAAGGTAAAGTAAAGTATATGAGGTTAGTTTATGAGAGGGGTCTGGGATGCGTGGGGTGTATTGTTTGAGGTGTGGCTGGGAGTATGTCTTGAAGTGAAAGATAGTCTGACATTAAGTTTTCCCATGTGGAGATGTGTATGTTAGTTTTGGATTTCCTGTTATTGTAGGAACTGTATCGTTTTTTTGGTGATAGCTGGCGACATTAGAAGACACTTTGATTTATTCTGATTGATGGGAAGTGTAGATATGTCTCCTAAAAGACAGAGGGATGGGGATGTTGCAGCCAAGTGAAGTGGTGAGTGGTTGGGTGACGGCTTTCCAGAATGCTTAGACCGGAGTGCAGTGCCAAAGAGCGTGAATGTAATCGTCCCTACAACCCTGTGTGCAGTGTGGGCAGATGTCTGAAGTGGATCCCATTTTTGATCATTTGTAACCGGTGTAGTGATATCTGTGTAGGATTATGAGTTGTATGAGTTGGAGGTTGGAGTTGGTGGTCATTGAGAACATATTTTTACAGATTTGGGTCCAGAAGTTGGCACTGGGAGTAAATGCTAAATCTTGTTGCCACTTTGCGGTTGGCAGTGATTGTGTATTATCTGATTTGGTGATTATTTTTTTACTTTGGCGTTCAGTTTATTTGGGGGAGTATTTATGAAATCCGCATCTGTATCATGAAGGCCTAGATTAATTGTTTGGATGTTGATTTTTTTCGAGTATGGCATTTACTCCCAATGCCATACTCCTGGGCCAACTGTGTCAGTGGTTTTAAGATGTTATTTGTGAGAATGTGATTGAGGTGAGTTATACCTTTATCCATGAATGGAAGTACAGAGGTTTATTATTGCTTGTGAATTCTGGGTTGTGCCAAATTGGGGAGCAGATGGATGGGGCAAGGGGGGTGTTGTTAGATTGTGAAGTTTCCACCAGGCTGTCAGAGCTGCCGATATGTTTTATGTATGGTGTTTTGAAAAGTGGATATTTCTTTATTGATTGATTAAGGAAGGGCAGGTCTGAGAGATTAATGTTATTGCAAAGTGATTGTTCAGTATCCATCCAGATTGAGTCAGAAGTGTTTGAGTGGATCCATTTGTGTATGGACTGTAAATGATTAGCTAATTGATAGTGGTGAAAATCTGGCGCATTGAGGCCTCCCTGTAGTTTTGGTTTCTGTAGTGTTGTGAGTTTGATACGGGGTGCTTTGTTTTTCCAGTAGAATTTGTTAATGGCAGAGTTGAGTGATTTAAACCAGGTTTGAGTGGGTTGAACAGGGGTCATTGAGAGTATGTAGTTGATTTTGGGGAGTAATGACATTTTAACCGAAGAGATTCTGCCTGAGATTGAAATGGGGAGATTCATCAGCGTTGTAAATCTTCTTCTAATTGTTTGAGTAAGGGGGGGAAGTTTATTCCCAGGTAAGTGATGTGATTTGAAGAGAGTGGGACAACCCAATACTGCGAGAGGAACATCTGGGCTTCTGAAAGAGGGGGCAGATGTTTAGGCTTGTGGGGTATCTCCTCTTTGTTACATCTCGACTACTTTCACTGCACACTTGTTCACTGTGTGATGTCCTCGACTACTGTCTAAAGGAACATTCACTTTTACTTTGGAAATTGCAAGAAAACTGGGACAAAGTGTCCAATATTGGTCCAAAATGCACTTATTATTATTATTTTTAATATGAAAGAGGTTTGCGACTACTTTCACTGCACAGTTCGTTCACTGTGATGCCCTCTACATAATATATTTTTCCACCGGCCCTGCTTCAGGATGAGCTAATGGTCAGGGATCATCAAGACAGAATGTGGATGGATCTCACTTAACCGCAAAATATAAAACACTAGATCTATTAACAACAACGAGAGAGGTTATATGTCTCTAATCCACCTATTTGTTGTCTCTATTCTTTAATTATATATTTTTTACATTTTAATGTAATTTTATATAACTTTAAATAAGAAATACACTTTTATATAAGATACAAGGCTGTAGTTTTACTCGAGAATACTTTCTCATTTCTGTTGACCCTTCTTTCATCATTGAAGGTCACGTGGTGCTCTGGCCCCATGCGCATGCGCTCGCTCGCCGCTAGGGGTCATCACTGCTCCATTACTGACGCACAGGTGAGGGCGGAAGTGTCATAGCGTTTACGTCATTACGTCAGTGCGTCAGGTCTGTGGAGGAGCAGCGCAAGACCGTCATGACGTCCTGCGCGACAAAACAGGTAAAAAACAAAACCGGACCAGACCGGACCGCGATCTGGTCCTTTACCCGGATCCTGACCTGGATCCAGACCCAGACTGAGACGTGGACCAGGACCTGGACTTGGATCCAGAGGTTAACTTGGACCCAGACTTGGACCTGTACCCAAACCTGGACCTGCACCCAAACCCGGACTCTCGTCAATGCAATGGAATGCAGGTCAGGAAAGTTGCGTAGCTCAGCTTTAATTCGTGTTTACTGCATACATAGGGCTTTTACGGAGTTTCCCAAACTGCAGTGACCTCTGCACCGTCACTGTTTACACAAGAGCACTAAAGCTGCTCTGCGTAACTTTTCTGACAAGCTCTACTCGCGTGTTGCCATGGAAATGCTATGTATCCGCTGGAATGTCCCTTAGATATAAAGTTGGGGTACTAACTTTAAAGCTGGGGTCTGTAACTTTCAGACCGGACCAACAGAACTTTGTAATAAACCCATATCTCTAGTTAATGGCTCTAAAACAGTTTTCTTCTATCACTACTTTTCACATCATGTATTTTTGGCGTCTGTCAAAGCTTTAGATCAGCTTTTTCAGACAGAAAGACGACCACCCCACTCAGCCAATTAGCCCAAAGAGTCAATTAATGACTCACAGGCCCTCTTTCTTACAATAAAGACAAAAAAATGTTTCCCTGAGATGAAGACCAGATAAAAATGTGTATAAAGACTAGAAGAAGTTACGTATCCAACCTTTAAAATGAATTATTTAAGGCTAAAGTTACATACACGCAGTTTATTCATGTGTTATTAATGAGACTAAAGTTACAGACCTCAGCTTTATACATGTGTTATTAATGAGACTAAAGTTACAGACCTCAGCTTTATACATGTGTTATTTATGAGACTAAAGTTACATACCTCAGCTTTATACATGTGTTATTTATGAGACTAAAGTTACAGACCTCAGCTTTATACATGTGTTATTTATGAGACTAAAGTTACAGACCTCAGCTTTATACATGTGTTATTTATGAGACTAAAGTTACAGACCTCAGCTTTATACATGTGTTATTTATGAGACTAAAGTTACAGACCTCAGCTTTATACATGTGTTATTTATGAGACTAAAGTACATATTTACCTCAGCCTTGTTGAGGGGGGGCAGCATCATGCTCCGGCCCAGTCAGAGTCCAGAACAGTGTGGACGGGTCCCGGCTCCCAAAGGTCCAAGAGCATGTGCACTGACATGCTTGCGCTCCGGGCCGGTGAGGGTTAGCATGGTCTTACCACACCATAGTAATAATTTCATTTTGTACTAGGGTCTGGATCTGCTACATTTAGCTTTGTTAACAGGTGGGAGAATTAACAAATTTTGCAGATTGAAACGACAGTGGCTCAGTTGGTAGAGCATTGGCCTTTGAGCCTGAAGATCGTGGGTTCGAGCCCACCGCGAGACCTTCTCCACCAACTCCCACTGATGTTTGCTGTTGTTGCCCCCACTGAAAGAGCTCAGCTCCTGTGGACTCCTCCACCTGCAGGAGGATCAGTGAGGGGCTGGTGCTAAGTGTACTGGTTGCAGCCAGTGGGGGCTAACATATAGCATTGGCAGACCTCTCGAAAATGTCTTTACAGGATGGTCCAAAAGTTGGCTCTAGGCCCAAAGCTCCGTTCCACATGTGTGGCAATGCTGAGGGGGTGAATTTTTTGGTCCACTCTAGTTTACTTGCTGTGAATTTTTGAAGTCTCTCGTTCAAATGAATGGAGCTGCGCCGGCTGACGCATGCGCAGATGCGTTTTTTCACAATTTTCTTGTGGGCGGGACCACTTGCGGCCGTTTTGATTAGCTCCAGTAGAGCACAAATTTTGGCCCATTAGTTAGAACGGCGGAGATAGGCGTGACTCTGTCCGTTAATATATACAGTCTATGGGTGCAGTCTGACTGCCACCCCCCCAACCCAGAAATGGATTAAGGGGAAGAAAATGGATGGATGGATGGAAACCATTGGATCTGCGTTTGCGGTGATGTAATGCACCAGAGTGAGTGAGGCATTTAGCATTTTGCATAGCCACCTCCTTTGTCACTAACGGGGCCCATGTGGAGTACAGCCACAACATCTTTGCCAGTATTGACATTTGTGAAGCATTCCTCTTGCTGCGGTTTAAATTTTTTGATATTTGGAGCTAGAACAGATTCCTTTACTATCACATTTGCCGCCATTGCCAAACTACAACCAGTAAATTTGGGTTGTAGTCACTCTTGACGTCACTGACACGACCTACAACACCTGCCTCCCTCGCTCGCTGAATTGTCGGATCGGATACAACCGATGTAACAGCCTCTAGGATCAGACCCAGACGTACATATGTAGGGAAATAATAATTGACCGGCTAAGGCCAGGCTTGGTGGGAATGTACCTGGATTAAGAATTACCCAATGCTTTTGTATGGCGTCTCTTCTTTCCTCTCGTAAAAAGGCTTTACAGGATGGTTCAAAACTCAGTTCTTGTTTTATTTTTATTTTTTTGGACACTTCTAGTTCAGCCGCTGTGGACTTCAGAAGAACCTTTTTCCTGCCCCCCGGCCATTTTGAAAAAGCCCCATAGAAGGCAAAAGTGATGACACATTAGTTTTAACGGTGGAGATAGGCGTGACTACATCCATTAATATTTACAGTATATGTTACAGACCTTAATGACAAACCACTGTCACAAACTCCTCCCACTGTCTGAGGCTCCTCCCACTGTCTGAGGCTCCTCCCACTGTCTGAGGCTCTTCCCATTGTCTGAGGCTCCTCCCATTGTCTGAGAATCCTCCCACTGTCTGAGGCTCTTCCCATTGTCTGAGGCTCCTCCCACTGTCTGAGGCTCCTCCCATTGTCTGAGGCTCCTCCCATTGTCTGAGAATCCTCCCACTGTCTGAGGCTCCTCCCACTGTCTGAGGCTCCTCCCGCTGTCTGAGGCTCCTCCCATTGTCTGAGAATCCTCCCACTGTCTGAGGCTCTTCCCATTGTCTGAGGCTCCTCCCACTGTCTGAGGCTCCTCCCATTGTCTGAGGCTCCTCCCATCGTCAGATGCTCATCCTACAGTGGTGTAGTCGGTTGTACAAACTGCAGTGTTTTTGTTGTAAATCCTGCACTTAATTGGAAGGTGATCCCTTGTGTCAAAGCTTAATTTTTGAAACCTTCAGGTATGCAAAGCTGAGTTTAGGAAACAGTGGTGCTCAGAACAGAGGAAGTATATCTGCAGACAAAGAGAGGAAATCCTGCTGCAGCCTGGACCAGTTTTTGTCCTGTTTTAGACCTACTTGAGACCTGCATTAGATCTGCAGTAACCCTCCTTTAGTCCTGCTTTAGACCTATTTTAGACTTGGTTTAGACCTACTTGAGTCCTGCTTTAGAGCTGATATAGACTGCCCTTAGACCTGCTTTAGACCTGGTTGAGAGTTGGTTCTGGTCTGGACTTGTCTTGACTCGTCTCACATTTCTGCCGTTCCTTCTGTGTTTAAAAATGCTGAGCATCCTCATGTCTCCACAGAACTGACTCTGGTCGTTTCCATGGCGATTCTGATCTTTCTAACTCAGTGTGGTCTGAGTTGTGCACTTTGCTTTCACAGTTAATGTACATATACAATATTTCACTGCATTTGATGGGTGTGCATGCGTGCGTGCTGGCGGAGTATGTGCACTCCGGGTCACATGACACTGACACATGACCTTTTTGCAGATCTGAGCTGGGACCTCAGAAGGGGCAGGGGCCACCATGGACACGCCCCCTGCAGGTGATGCATACACACAGGCGTTGCCTTAATTCTGGTCTCTCTGCTCTCTCTGATTTCTCTCTGATCTCTCTCTTGGTTTTCTCTTTCTGTCTTGTCTCTCTCTCGTCTCTCTCTTATTTCTCCCTGGTCTCATCCCGGTCTGTCCCTGGTCTCCTCCAGGTCTCTACCTGGTCTAACCCTGGTCCCTCCCTGGTCTCTGCAGGTCTGGCCCTGGTCCTGGTTGAGTTTAGGTACCAGTACAGGTCCACTGATGGTGTCCTGGTGGAGATAAATCCAAATGAGCGTTACGAGCTTCTGTGTAAGACCAACTCTCACTGGTGGAAGGTCCGATCCAAACCGGGTCACAAACCCTTCTATGTCCCCGCCAAATATGTCCGCGAACTTCCTGCCCTAAGCCCCACCCATGGCCTCACTGATGGACCAGAGAGCCTCGTCCCCTCACTCCCAAGCCCTGCTCCCTCGCTCCCAAGCCCTGCCCCCGTGCCTCCTCCCATGCCACCAGAGACTCACGATGGGTTCCACAAACCATCAGACCAGGTAAGTTCCCCCAGCTCTATGGTCTGGGGTCGAGAGGGTAACTCTAAAAAGTTAGCCCATAAGCTAAGGCTATTCTCTCTCAGGTCCTGATTCGCCTGCGCCCTGAAACTGGGTATCGCCGTCCTGAGAACAGGATGTCCACGTTTGGGTTTCCCGCCGATGGAGACGTTTCCTTAGTAACGCCTTGGGATAGAAACGGGACTACAAACATGGCTGACAGCTTGCGATCGGCTGATCCTACCTTGTTTTCACGTCACCAGCCAATCCCGGTGGAGACGCCCAGAGCTCCCCCCACTCACAACATCACACAGGTACGTAGCCATTATAAAAGACAGACAATTGCCGGTATTAAAGCTGCACTAACTGACTTTATTTTTGTATTCATTACAAAAATGCAATCCATATCTATGCAGTGCATTGGATACGTCCTTTTGAAGAAAAAGTAGCGCAGGTTTGTGCTGGCATGACATTATATTTTAGATAGAGTTTTCATGAAACAAGGAAGAGAATGTGTTTCGGGTCCCGATTGTGACCAATCACAGCGGACCACTGGCCTCCGCTTTCTGCTTAGCACCGACAGCTGAGTTAGCACAACAAGCGGCAGAGGCTAACCTGAAGCTTCCCGTGTCTTCGTTACTGCTTACACAGCGAAACATCCATCCAAAAGAAAGTCTCGTCCTCTCCCGGTTCTGTCATTCTATGGTCAAGCCATCCACGTGCATAAGTGCCATATTGTTCCATATTGTGAGACGCTAGCTCCGACGCTAACAGCAGCACAGAGCACAGGCTGCGGGGGAGGGGGTAGTGGGGGGCGAAAGCTCCGTGGGTGCGGGGAGGGCAGAGAGAGCGAGGCCATTGCTGCGTTTGAAAATGTTTCCAAATCCGTCAGTGCAGCTTTAAAGGGCCCATATTACGCGTTTTGACTTTTCTCTGGTTTAAACATGATCACAGTGCTATTTGGCCTCATACACATGTCCAGAGTAGTTTTTTCATTGATTCCGTCAAGCTTTATTTAGAGAGCAATCTTTCTCTTTCATTCTCGAGAGGCACAGAAACGAGCTGATTCAAATCATGACGTGGCACAATCCGTAACGTCAAAAGTGTCACTGATTGACAGCGGGGAGAAACTGAACCAGCGAATCAGCGCCGCCTATGCAGCCCATGCAGCCCATGCAGCCTCTCTGAGTCCAGTGTGTGGTCCATAGACAGTAAATAAGCATCTGTGCTTTTTTGTGTTCGCTTCCTGTCAACTTGGAGAAAATGTGTTGTTGGTGTAAATATGTGACGAGAGTATTTGGTCGAAGATGGAGAATGGGGATCGACTTTGTTCACGGGGATATCTGCTTCGTATCCGGGCTCACAGCCAGAGGAGCGCTGATCCAAGCGTTTCACATGAGCTGAGATCACCTCCATGCACGAAATGGCTATAATTTGACGTGTTTTGAGTGTTGTATGGTGTATCACCCAAATTATTTTCACACAAATGCATAGGATGGACTGTGAAAGATTAATAAAAGCAAAATATGGCACCTTTAAACCCTGGTCCTGGATTGTCCCATCAGACCAGGTCTCAGACCCATTCTTGGAGAGAACAGGGAGAGAGACCGGAGAGAGAGACCAGAGAGAGAGTCCACTGAACACACTAGTGTAGACTTTTGAACAGTATCTGAGTAAGCATATGTGCAGTGGGCAGAGCTAAACACAGCTGTAGGTTGGGACTGACAAGGAACTGTGGAGCATGGAGAGCACAGAATTTGTACTTTGAATGTTTCTATAGGAGGGAGCAGAGCTGGGACAAACTGAAGCAGAGGACAAGCGGGAGGAGGACGAGCAGGAGGAGGAGGAGCAGGAGGAGGAGCAACACGAGGAGCTGCAACATGAGGAGCAGCAAGAGGAGCAGCAGCACAAGAAGCAGCAGCACCAGGAGCACCCCCGCGAGCCATGCAGAGACCACAGCTCCTCTCACATCTACGAGTCCATACAAGACCTCAACATCGACTTGGACGCTCTGATAGGACCAGAACGAGAAGCCCCGCCCCCTACACATGCCAAATCCCCCGCACAATCCTTGCCCCATGCACAGGTAACGTTTCAAAATGTTTGAACCCTGTTGTGGAGCTCCCCTTTTTATGTTTTACATTTTGCCAAAAAAATCCATGTTGGTCTCTTCGGTCCACAGCATGATGCTGCCCCACTCCCTCACACTGTTGACAGTGTTAGTGTTGGTCTCCTCTGTCCACAGCATGATGCTGCCCCCCTACCTTAAACTAATGACAATTTTAAGGGGCGTTCACACTGGACCATGCATTGCGTCGAGTTTGAATGCAAAGTCAATGGTGACGTACGTCCTTGCGAATATTCGCATGTGCGTTGCGGCACGCAGGTATGTCCGGTGCGGCAGATGTGTTCTTGCGCCGTGGCAAAGGCAGTTAGTACAGCGACTTGGCGCATGCAGCAAACGCATGAGTTACACATTATAACTTTTTTTTGCTAGACGCACGTGCAGTAACCAATCAAAGAGCGCCATAGTGGTCACAGGGACACAAGCTGGTCAGAGCAAGAAAGCCAAGAAAACAGCCAAAACATGAGCTAATCCAGGGCTGACAATGGTGGTGCTTGTGGATATATGCTTCCAGCCTGAGTTCTCATTTTCCTGTGACTGTAAATGATAATATAATAAATTCCATGAGCAAATACTGCTGTATATGAGGTCTCTGGAGGGTCTCAGGACTCAGAGACAGCACGAAGCTGCACTCATGAAGGAGAACTTTACAGGAGCCGCTCTCTTAAACTCGTTAGCATCAAAGCCGGCCCACCACTTCCGCCCTGCGTTTTATGGCATCGCAGGGCAGTACATCAGATTTACTAAACTCATACGGCCATCCAAGATTCATGAATGTTGGATGACACTGATGACAGTATTAATGTTAGTGTTTGACTCATTTCTGATCATGTCTCTCTTCTTGTGAGTTTAGTTTGATGGCCGTGTAGTAATGGATGGAACAGTGAGACCACAGAGAGGGTCCAGAGAGAGGCTCCAGAGAGAGAGGGTCCAGAGAGAGAGGGTCCAGAGAGAGGGAGTCCAGAGAGAGGGTCCATAGAGAGGGTCCAGAGAGAGGGTCTAGAGAGAGGGTCCAGAGAGAGGGTCCAGAGAGAGGGAGTCCAGAGAGAGGGTCCATAGAGAGAGGGAGTCCATAAGAGAGAGAAAGTCCAGAGAGGGAGAAAGTCCAGAGAGAGAGAAAAGTCCAGAGAGAAAGTCCAGAGAGAGAGAGAGAGAGAGAGAGTCCAGAGAGAGAGAGAGAGTCCAGAGAGAGAGAGAGAGTCCAGAGAGAGAGAAAGTCCAGAGAGAGAGTCCAGAGAGGGAGTCCAGAGAGAGGGAGTCCAGAGAGAGGGAGTCCAGAGAGAGGGAGTCCAGAGAGAGGGAGTCCAGAGAGAGGGAGTCCAGAGAGAGGGAGTCCAGAGAGAGAGAGTCCAGAGAGAGTCCAGGGAGAGAGAGTCCAGAGAGAGAGAGAGTCCAGAGAGAGAGAGAGTCCAGAGAGAGAGAGAGTCCAGAGAGAGAGAGTGTCCAGAGAGAGAGAGAGTCCAGAGAGAGAGAGTCTCCAGAGAGAGAGAGTCTCCAGAGAGAGAGAGTCCAGAGAGAGAGAGTCTAGAGAGAGAGAGAGTTCAGAGAGAGTCCAGAGAGAGAGAGAGTCCAGAGAGAGAGAGAGTCCAGAGAGAGAGAGTGTCCAGAGAGAGAGAGAGTCCAGAGAGAGAGAGAGTCTCCAGAGAGAGAGAGTCTCCAGAGAGAGAGAGTCCAGAGAGAGAGAGTCCAGAGAGAGAGAGAGAGTCCAGAGAGAGAGAGAGTCCAGAGAGAGAGTGTCCAGAGAGAGAGAGAGTCCAGAGAGAGAGAGAGTCCAGAGAGAGAGAGAGTCCAGAGAGAGAGAGTCCAGAGAGGAAGTCCAGAGAGAGGGAGTCCAGAGAGAGAGAGAGTCCAGAGAGAGAGAGAGAGTCCAGAGCGAAGCACGCTCATACAAAAATCTGTTGTCTGTAAACACCTCTCACAGGAAAATCCCTCTCTTTGTCTTAGTCACTTCCTGTATGAACAGGAAGCTGGGACTGCTGTTTCCTGAGCTTGCCACAAACTCAGCCAAATTGTAATGTTCATTTGAGCCCAAATGTCAGTCCTCAGCTTCTGCCGGTCTGTGGTTTGAGCGGTGTCTGCAGGGACAGTGTGTAACTTTGAGTTTTTGTGTTTGCAGGAGTCTGAAGGCGAGAGCCCCATTTACGCCAATGTCACCAAGGCAACAATCCCCCCTCCCCCTTCTGACCCTGCCCCCCCTCCTCCCTCTGATCACGCCCACTCATGCTCCTCTTCCTCTGGACTAAGCCCCGCCTCCCCACTCAGCCCATTGGACGAATGGCAGGTGGGTTTATGGCATGTATCTATTATAATAACTGGATAGGGTATTACTAGCTTGGAGCTGAAGGACCCAAGTGCTCGGGGGATTATCGCGGTACTGCAGACTAAACCAGACTAATGTAAACTTAAGCAGCGCGACCTCAGCCGACAGAGAACCTACAGATTTCATAAAGGTCGGATTTTGTGGGGATTTTAGTGTCCCTTGTCATCCTCAACTTTCTTTCCGTTTTCTTTAAATCCACACTTTACTGCCACAAACTCTGCTCGTCTGGCTCCCGCTCTAACTCCAGCTCTGATCAGCAGCTCTGATCAGCAGCTCTGATTGGTCAGAGCGCAACCGAGCCCCTCTGTGCACGTGCGTGAGACCCACACACGCGTATTTGGCGCAACGCATTATGGGAGATCATCCACTGCGCAGAACCGGGAGGACCAGACGATGCCCAAATATAGCGAGTGATATGGCGAGATCCGCTAATATGTCAGAGACCGTGCTGGCACATGCGCCACTGAGCACAAACCATTCATTTGAATACGGCGCCATCTTGGATCGCCGGGACTTGGTTTATGGGTGTGGTTTACGTGACAGCCACTTCCTGTTTTTTTTCTTTTAATAGCTGCTCTGTGTAAATTAACTGGTACGTCATGGAGACCAGTAGATCAGCATTGTCTCTCTGGTCTCTTTCTGGTCCCTTTCTGGTCTCTCTGGTCTCAAAGGGGTCTGGTCTCTCTAGTCTTTCTGGTGTCACTCTCTCCCTCTTTTCTCTTTGTTCTCTCTCTGTTCTCTCACTGGTCTCTATTTGGTCTCTCTCTGGTCTCTCTCTTGTGTGATTGGTCTCTTGTTTGGGCAGGGCTTAATTGCCGGTGATTTTTAACATATCTTTCATCGACGTTTGTTCAGTCGCACACAGACGCCGACTCGGGGAAACTTTTCTACTTCAACCACCTGACCAGGAGGTGCACCTGGACTCCGCCCACTGAGTCTGTCCCTGCCCCCACACAGGTGAGACTCAGCTCCCTCACAGATAAGCCCCTTCCCGCTTGTTGTCGCCATGATATGACTCCTATCTCTTTTCTATAGTGGGAGCGGGTGATGGATGAAGTCTCAGGCAGGTTTTACTACTTCAACACAGCGACTGGAGCCACAACCTGGGACACAGGAGGACCACCAGTAAGACCAGGGCCAGAAACTTAAAACCAGAGACCAAGGACCATGGATCTAGTATGATGTCTGGATAGGGTATTACTAGATTATAGCTGTCCCACTCATGGACACGGGGGGAATCCATGGTACTGCAGACTAAATTCACGTTGGCCACCCAGAAAAATTTCCCATAGAACTCAACGTAAACTAAGACAGCTCGACCTCACCTGACAGAGAACCTGACAGAGAACCTGACAGAGAACCTGCAGCGTTCATGAAGGTCGGATTTCAGATTCAGATTCATTTATTTGCCATTTGCAGTAAAACCACATTGGAATACATTTGCAAAAGTCCCCAGTGTGCACAAGACAAATACATAATTAAAACAAGGTTAAAAGTACAGAAATAAAACAAACAAAACAATAAACAATTGTCACTGTGAAATCGATCGACTTCAATACAAGTGCAAGATCATTTAAAGTGCTCTGTTTAAACTGATAACAGCTTGTGGAAAGAAGCTTTTGGCATATCGAGATGTCCTGCAATATCTTCAATATCTACTGCCAGAGGGAAGAAGCTGGAACATGGCTTTTCCAGTGTAACGCTCGGTTTAAAAGTCTGGATTCATAAAGAAACTCCAGAACAGGAAGCTCACAGCCCACAGTCCTGTTTCAGAGCAGAGCACATTGTTTAGAGCTCTCCTTTCTTTGTCTGTGATGTCACCAAACCACAGTCACAGAACCAACAAGCAAACTCTCAATGGTGCAGCAATAAAAGTTACGCAGAATCTTAGAGTTACAGGTTAATTGTCTTAAGTTTTTTCAGAAAGTAGAGACGCCTCCTGTATTCACCTCCTGTATTGGATTTTCATTGTGTGCGCAGGAAAGAGTTGTCTGTGCCCCTAAAAGAGACCCTAAAAGCACTGTGCAATTGCACACGCGCGCAGTTAGAGGGAACATTGCTCCGTTCCCATCTGCACCTGGGAGTTACCAATAACAACAGGCGTGTGAATACTGTTACGACTAAAGTCAAAGACCAGTTCACATGTCTTGGATGCGTTCAGCTCGAGGTTGTTAGCCTGACTCCACTGAACTGGATCTCTGCTCTATAAGAGGATTCATCATTATTACTGATGAGACCAACGATGGTGGTGTCATCAGCATTTTTAATGATCAGGTTAGAGTCAGAGGAAGACACACAATCATGGGTGTACAAAGTAAAAAGCAAAGGACTCAAAATACATCCCTGAGGAGAACCAGTGCTCACAGAAACAACATCAGAAAAACAGTCATTGATTTTCACTCTCTGAGATCTGTCAGTTAAAAAGCTAAAAATCCATTTACACATGGCAACACTTAAACCGAGAGAGTTTTTCAATCAGTTTACCTGGGACAAGGCAGTTAAAAGCAGAGCTATAATCGATGAAAAGCATTCTGGCCACAGATTTACTAGTGTCCAAGTGACTGTAGACAGAGTTCAGAGCAAAGGAGATGGCATCCTCCACACTCCTGTTCTGTCTGTAGCAAACTGGAGCGGGTCAACACTCACAGGGATCTGGCTCTTAATGAAGTCCAGCACAAGCCGCTCAAAAGTCTTCATAAGAACAGACGTGAGGGCCACAGGACGATAGTCATTCAGGCATGTCACAGGAGTTTTCTTAGGAACTGGAATGATGGTCGACTCTTTAAAGCAGTTCGGCACAGTACAGTTCCTTAGCGACAGGTTGAAAATGTCTGTTAGCACAGGGGCAAGTTGCTCAGAGCACAGTTTCAGGACACAGGAGGGATGCCGTCCGGGCCTGGGGCTTTCCGGACTGTGGTCCTGGACAAGACACGCCTGACTTCCTCCTGAGTCACGGTGAAGGTACCTTGATTGAAACACTCAGGGAATACAGTAGGACAGGCATCAGCGGATTCAAAGCGACAGTAGAACATTTTAAGCTCATTTGGCAGAGCTCGGCCAACAGATGCCATTTTCTAGCAGTTGGTTTCCAGGATGTGATGGCTTTTATTTATTTATTTGTTCTTTCCGAGCCCACAGCAGTACACATTTGTACACACAACAAGCATCCAAATACACATTGGTGCACCAGTGGACAGACAACACCAACAAATATATACAACCAACATCACTAATGCACCTGTGCACAGAAAAAAAAAATAATAATAAAAAACAAGCTTTACATATTCACATAGGCCTTATTGTTATTATGCACGCATTTTTACACCGCTCCACATGCGCCGAGGGTCATCATCATCAACGTTTCAATGAGTAACAGAATAACTTATAAGCAACTGCATTATTTTATTGAAGTGCCAAAGCACACTCGTGAATTTTCAGTTTCACCTCCCAAAGGAGGTGACAGGACCTTTAAGCTCCCTTCAAGTTAATCAAGGGTTTGTGCTCCTCTTGTAGCTTGAGTCACATGTTGGTGAAAGTTTGGTGAAGGTCTTTAAATTACATTTAATCACCAGCGACAATGAAGACTGTGTTAGGATGTGTTACGACGTAGAGTACGACGTAGAGTACGACGTAGAGTACGACGTAGAGTACGACGTAGAGTACGACGTAGAGTACGACGTAGAGTACGACGTAGAGTACGACGTAGAGTACGACGTAGAGTACGACGGAGACGCCCAGTCCCCTCGCTCTGTTCACGGCCACTGCCATGGCCCGCCTGTCCTACCCCACAGGCCTCTCGAGTGGGGCACTGGTGTAAGTTTATGCACCTCAGTTGTGGTAAGATCTGTGACACATCACAAACTTGGTCCCAAATGTACAGAAGTGTATCTCGGTTGTACTTCATAGTGGCAAGTGAATCACAGACAAATAACAACAACATGGAACAGATAGTGCACTCCGGAGCTCTTACTGCGGCGCCCTGACTCGCCGCCATCTTGCTCTACAAAGAAAACATCTTTCAAAAATCCTGCAATAATTTTGTGGGGAATTTAGTGTCCCTTGTCATCCTGAACTTTTCTCTTCTTAAATCCTTTGGTTCTCTATAAATCCACACTTTAGTGCAACAAACACTGCTCATATCTCTCCCACTCTAGCTCTGCTCTAGCTCTGCTCTGATCAGCAGCTGTGATTGGTCAGGCCATAGTACAGCTCGTCCACTGCACAGAACCGGCAGGACCAGAGGATGCCCAAATATGGGCAAGGTTGGCTAATCTATCGATGCCCATGGTTGTCCCATGAGCTACTGAGCACAAGCCATTTATTTGAATAGGGCGCCATCTTGGATCACCAGGGCTTGCCAAGGACCATAGACCAATGACCTGAGACCAGGGACAAGGGACCAGAAACCAGAAACCTAGGTTTCAATGTCAAGGCCAAGTTTATTTATTTAGCAGATTTTTTAAAAACAGACCTGACTGTTAGAGTGACCCGAGAGAGTGACCCGAGAGAGTGACCAGAGAGATTGACCAGAGAGAGTGACCAGAGAGAGTGACCAGAGAGAGTGACCCGAGAGAGTGACCAGAGAGAGTGACCCGAGAGAGTGACCCGAGAGAGTGACCAGAGAGATTGACCAGAGAGAGTGACCAGAGAGAGTGACCAGAGAGAGTGACCCGAGAGAGTGACCCGAGAGAGTGACCAGAGAGATTGACCAGAGAGATTGACCAGAGAGAGTGACCCGAGAGAGTGACCAGAGAGATTGACCAGAGAGAGTGACCAGAGAGAGTGACCCGAGAGAGTGACCCGAGAGAGTGACCCGAGAGAGTGACCAGAGAGAGTGACCCGAGAGAGTGACCCGAGAGAGTGACCCGAGAGAGTGACCCGAGAGAGTGACCAGAAGTGTTTTCTTTCGACAAGCCGGGTCTCTGTCTGTTCACAGAAGATAATTCAGATTTTCAATTTATATTTGCTTCTAACCCAGGTTTGTGTTTCAGCCGCTGCCAGAGGAGGACTACCCCCAAGGCCGAGACCAGGGCCGGGACCAGGGCCGGGACCAGGGCCGGGACCAGGGCCGGGACCAGGGCCGGGACCAGGGCCGGGACCAGGGCCGGGACCAGGGCCGGGACCAGGGCCGAGACGATGACTCTGCTGTTGCGGACGACAACGTCTTTCTCCCGGTGAGTAAACAGTGTGTTTGCGTACGTTGCCGTGGTGACAGTTGCTCCTCCTTCTCCTCAGAGGTTCTTCGCCGTTCGCAGACATGTCTCCGATGTGACGGACAGCTCTAAAGGCCCCGCCCCCGACCATGAGGTGAGGTGACATGACCCAGAGGGCTGCATCGCCTAGTCCCGGTCCTAGAGGCCACACTTCAGGCCAGACCTTAGACCGGATTGTGGGCCAGATCAGGCAAACCAGATCAGAGACCAGACTTTAAATTCAATTCTCTTTATTGACAAAAAAAGGAAATCCCAGGAAGCTGCATGGGCTCATAAGTACATATTAAACTCATGTTACAGTTTATACCTTTTTATACATTACATCTTAAACCATAATGTAAACATTTTGCCCATTCACACATTCCCACAGTTTCAGTCTGTACTCTGTAATTCTCTGGGAGTTGGAACATGTAATCCATCACAACATACATGATAAATAACATCTGTGTGTTGCCTAAGCATGTTGCACTCTTTCTATAATCCTGTCAAAGATTTTAATACAAATATCTTTACTTTTTTCGTTCTATTTGAATTAAAAGGATAATTACATTACAGATGTCTACTTTATGTGTGTGTATGTAAATATATTGTATATGTGTGTACATTTTATACATATCTAGCTGGATAAGTAGATATTGGGACATACAGGGGACATTCGGAATCTGCAGTAATGCACATGATTGCAGTATTTATTATTTACAGATAAGATGATATTCAGAGGCTCTGCAGTTCTCATTTTACAGTCTGACAGCAGGAAAGACTTGCGGAACCTCTCCTTCACCCAGTGAGGGTGGATCAGTCTGTTACTGAAACTGCACTCCAGCGAGTGTCCTGCAGGGGGTGACAGTCAGATGACAACAGATGGGATGCCACTTTCCCTAAATATAATTATTGTACAGACCTGCAGCTGCCGTTCCATCAGGACTGGGAGCGTTTTTGAACCTCCCTTTCGTGATGAAACATTTTTATACAATGCGTTAAGGGACCAGTTGAGGATATCCATGATTACTTAGCTTTGAAAATTTGATAAATCATAACAATCTGTGTCTGATGTATAAGATCCTCCATGACACAGCTGCTCCTCCACTAAAAACGTTCATCTCTTTGGGCTCTGAAACAACAACTCGAGCCACTAGATCTACAGTGCGAGGCGAATGTAGGATACCAAAGCGAAAGACAGCATTTGGAAACTCTGCTTTTTCTTGTGTGGCCGCTCGTCAGTGGAATATGCTGCCTACAGAGCTGATAACAAGCACAAACTTTTACACATTGTCACGCCTGGCAAAGAAATGGCTCCTGTCAAATCAATCTTGCATCCACATGTAACTGGATGTATGTCTGTATGTGTGTTCTGAGGTCTAAAAGAGTAGACCTGAGTAAATGAAAGGTGTGTATAAGAGTTTGTATCTGATTGTTGTGCATGTGAAGATTTGCTTTTACTATTATGAACTTGATCAATGTAAATGCCATTATCCATGTGTGCATGATGTTTTTATGTTTTTTACTATAACATCAGCCTGCCCAGGGACTACGGGTGGAAATTAGCTCTTGAGCTATAACTTGGTACAATGCATCTCTCCCCTTGGGGTTAATGTTTATTGTACACTGTCCCTGTTTCTCTAAATAAAGAAAATTACAACATTACAAATTCTTGTAAGAGTAGTCCGCAGGCAGAATGCCAGACAAAGACAAAAACAAGATAATGCAAGTGGTCAGAGCAGGAGCAGTCCGAGACATGTCTGTACTTGACAAAGAGCAGCAGGATAATCATGATGCTTTGCTACTGCAGTGTTTTGATCATGTGACTGTTTGAAGCTACACAATAGGCTGACGCTGAGGAGGAACCTGTCGAATCGCAGCTCAGACTCACGGCAGCAGCAAGTACGAGCTCAGTAATTGGTCCAGGGCTGTCCTCTCTCTCTGGTTTGGTCCAGGGCTGTCCTCTCTCTCTGGTTTGGTCCAGGGCTATCCTCTCTCTTTGATTGGTCTAGGGCTGTCCTCTCTCTCTGATTGGTAGAGTGGTGATTTGCATAAACACAAGCTCCTCCTCTTTACAGGCGTGGGGGCGGGGTCATCTCCCACTTCCTTTTCTGTTTTTACTTTTTGTATTTTCTTCCTGATTTTACTTCTTGTTTTTTTTCTCCCTAACCCCTCATCTGCGTAGGGCCACCTGCTGGAGAAGGCCGGGGTCATCAACAAGACCAAAGTGTGTGAGAACGGCAAAAAGATCAGGTGACAACACACACACAAACACACATTTGCACACACACGCGAATACACACATGCCGTTGTCACAGTGATGTCTCATGTTTCAGGAAGAACTGGTCTCAGTCCTGGACCGTTCTTCATGGAGGAATCCTCACATTTCACAGAGATCCAAAGTCTGCACCAGCGTCAGCCAATGTGAGTCTGTCCTGAGTCTCTGTCCTGAGTCTCTGTCCTGAGTCTCTGTCCTGAGCCTCTGTCCTGAGTCTCTGTCCTGAGTCTCTGTCCTGAGCCTCTGTCCTGAGTCTCTGTCCTGAGCCTCTGTCCTGAGCCTCTGTCCTGAGCCTCTGTCCTGAGCCTCTGTCCTGAGCCTCTGTCCTGAGCCTCTGTCCTGAGCCTCTGTCCTGAGCCTCTGTCCTGAGTCTCTGTCCTGAGTCTCTGTCCTGAGCCTCTGTCCTAAGTCTCTGTCCTGAGTCTCTGTCCTGAGTCTCTGTCCTGAGTCTCTGTCCTGAGTCTCTGTCCTGAGTCTCTGTCCTGAGTCTCTGTCCTGAGTCTCTGTCCTGAGTCTCTGTCCTGAGTCTCTGTCCTGAGTCTCTGTCCTGAGTCTCTGTCCTGAGCCTCTGTCCTGAGCCTCTGTCCTGAGTCTCTGTCCTGAGCCTCTGTCCTGAGCCTCTGTCCTGAGCCTCTGTCCTGAGTCTCTGTCCTGAGTCTCTGTCCTGAGTCTCTGTCCTGAGTCTCTGTCCTGAGCCTCTGTCCTGAGCCTCTGTCCTGAGTCTCTGTCCTGAGTCTCTGTCCTGAGCCTCTGTCCTGAGTCTCTGTCCTGAGTCTCTGTCCTGAGTCTCTGTCCTGAGTCTCTGTCCTGAGTCTCTGTCCTGAGCCTCTGTCCTGAGTCTCTGTCCTGAGCCTCTGTCCTGAGCCTCTGTCCTGAGCCTCTGTCCTGAGCCTCTGTCCTGAGCCTCTGTCCTGAGTCTCTGTCCTGAGCCTCTGTCCTGAGCCTCTGTCCTGAGTCTCTGTCCTGAGTCTCTGTCTTGAGCCTCTGTCCTGAGCCTCTGTCCTGAGCCTCTGTCCTGAGTCTCTGTCCTGAGTCTCTGTCCTGAGTCTCTGTCCTGAGCCTCTGTCCTGAGCCTCTGTCCTGAGCCTCTGTCCTGAGTCTCTGTCCTGAGCCTCTGTCCTGAGCCTCTGTCCTGAGTCTCTGTCCTGAGTCTCTGTCCTGAGCCTCTGTCCTGAGTCTCTGTCCTGAGTCTCTGTCCTGAGTCTCTGTCCTGAGTCTCTGTCCTGAGTCTCTGTCCTGAGTCTCTGTCCTGAGCCTCTGTCCTGAGCCTCTGTCCTGAGCCTCTGCCTGAGCCTCTGTCCTGAGCCTCTGTCCTGAGCCTCTGTCCTGAGCCTCTGTCCTGAGCCTCTGTCCTGAGCCTCTGTCCTGAGCCTCTGTCCTGAGTCTCTGTCCTGAGCCTCTGTCCTGAGCCTCTGTCCTGAGCCTCTGTCCTGAGTCTCTGTCCTGAGTCTCTGTCTTGAGCCTCTGTCCTGAGCCTCTGTCCTGAGCCTCTGTCCTGAGCCTCTGTCCTGAGTCTCTGTCCTGAGTCTCTGTCCTGAGTCTCTGTCCTGAGTCTCTGTCCTGAGCCTCTGTCCTGAGCCTCTGTCCTGAGTCTCTGTCCTGAGTCTCTGTCCTGAGTCTCTGTCCTGAGTCTCTGTCCTGAGTCTCTGTCCTGAGTCTCTGTCCTGAGCCTCTGTCCTGAGCCTCTGTCCTGAGCCTCTGTCCTGAGCCTCTGTCCTGAGTCTCTGTCCTGAGCCTCTGTCCTGAGCCTCTGTCCTGAGTCTCTGTCCTGAGCCTCTGTCCTGAGCCTCTGTCCTGAGTCTCTGTCCTGAGTCTCTGTCCTGAGTCTCTGTCCTGAGCCTCTGTCCTGAGTCTCTGTCCTGAGTCTCTGTCCTGAGTCTCTGTCCTGAGTCTCTGTCCTGAGTCTCTGTCCTGAGTCTCTGTCCTGAGCCTCTGTCCTGAGCCTCTGTCCTGAGCCTCTGTCCTGAGCCTCTGTCCTGAGCCTCTGTCCTGAGCCTCTGTCCTGAGCCTCTGTCCTGAGTCTCTGTCCTGAGCCTCTGTCCTGAGCCTCTGTCCTGAGCCTCTGTCCTGAGTCTCTGTCCTGAGTCTCTGTCTTGAGCCTCTGTCCTGAGCCTCTGTCCTGAGCCTCTGTCCTGAGTCTCTGTCCTGAGTCTCTGTCCTGAGTCTCTGTCCTGAGTCTCTGTCCTGAGCCTCTGTCCTGAGCCTCTGTCCTGAGTCTCTGTCCTGAGTCTCTGTCCTGAGTCTCTGTCCTGAGTCTCTGTCCTGAGTCTCTGTCCTGAGTCTCTGTCCTGAGCCTCTGTCCTGAGCCTCTGTCCTGAGCCTCTGTCCTGAGTCTCTGTCCTGAGTCTCTGTCCTGAGCCTCTGTCCTGAGCCTCTGTCCTGAGTCTCTGTCCTGAGCCTCTGTCCTGAGCCTCTGTCCTGAGCCTCTGTCCTGAGCCTCTGTCCTGAGCCTCTGTCCTGAGCCTCTGTCCTGAGCCTCTGTCCTGAGCCTCTGTCCTGAGCCTCTGTCCTGAGCCTCTGTCCTGAGCCTCTGTCCTGAGCCTCTGTCCTGAGCCTCTGTCCTGAGCCTCTGTCCTGAGTCTCTGTCCTGAGTCTCCTGTCCTCAGCCTATACTTCCTATTTCTTTGTCCCCTGTCTCTCTCTGGTCTCTGTCCTCTCTGGTCTCTGTCCTCTCTGGTCTCTGTCCTCTCTGGTCTCTGTCCTCTCTGGTCTCTGTCCTCTCTGGTCTCTTTCTCTCTCTGGTCTCTGTCCTCTCTGGTCTCTGTCCTCTCTCTGGTCTCTATATCTGGTGTCCTCTCATTTGTCCCCATCTCCGTCCTCAGACCAAAGCCTCCCAGATTGTTCCTGAGTTCACTGTGGACCTGAGAGGAGCCTCTGTGACCTGGGTTCAGAACAAGTCGTCCAAGAAGAACGTCTTGGAGGTATGGCCCAGGACTGAAACAGGACTGGACCAGGACTGGACCAAACTGAAAAACTGAGACAGAGGACAGAAACTTTGATTTAAATCCTACTGAAAATGTTGCCATCTCTAATTTGCTCTTCTCCCTGTTCTGATCTCTGATTGGCTCTCCTCACCGCTCTGCTCTATAATTGGTTTTCCTATTCTCCTTGCTGCTCTTTGATTGGCTCTTCTCTTCTCCCTGCTCTCCTTTCTGACTGGCTCTCCTCTCTCCTTTCTGATTGGCTCTCCTTCCCGCTCTGCTTCTAATTGGCTGTAGCTGAAGACTCGTCAGAGCTGTGAGTTCCTGATTCAGTACGACACAGAGAGCATCATCAACGACTGGTTCAGAGCCCTGAGTGAGGCCATCCGGCAGCTGGTAACGTGTGCTAATGTGCTAATGTGGGCTAATGTAAGCTAATCTGTTCTAACGTGTGCTAACGTAGAGCCTGGTCCCAAATACGTCTTTAGAGCCCGGTCACATGACACTTATCACAACAACAGTTCCAGGTGACATTACTGCCATGTACTTCTTGGTGCCTCCAGCAGGGGGAGCTGAAACCAGGTGTTTCAGTCCTTATGGTGCTTTCAGACTGGATCATGCGTTGCGTCGGGTTTCAATGCAAAGTCTGGTGATGCGCGTTCGACTGTCGCAACGCACGGACCTCTTGGCACGCACGGACGGACTGGTCAGTAGACACACACAGACTTGGCGGGAAAGTCAAAGGGGAGGAGCAGGAGCAGAAAATCGACGCCCACAGGAGATGGATTCTGCTCATCCTTTCCTTGGGACGTTCGTGCGACAACCAATCAGAGAGCAGCAAAGTGGTCACGGGGACATTAGCGGACAGAGCGAGCAGACTGAAAATACTCATAAACAGCCAAAACAGGACCCACACCAGGCTTCACCAGAACTCAAACCAGGGCTGACAATGGGGGACTCTGTGCTTGTGAAAATATGCGTTGTCATGCTCCTGTGACCTTATGCAACTGCTTCAAGTGTGTTCGCCGATGCGGAGATACCGTTTAATAATATGAAAAAACGTATGCCGCACCTCCGTGAACACATACTACTGTTATATAAAGCCCCTTTTCAAAAACACGCTGCAAAGCTGCATATTGGAGAAGATCTGTACACAAGAAGCCGCTAGCATAGTTCTGTTAGCATTAGAGCCGGCCGGCTACTTCCGGTACTTCCGGTTCGCGTCAGGACATCTCTGTGTGAAGACCCCTGCGCCTGAAAACTAGAGAATGCGCGTCTGGTGAGCGGGGCTTCAGCGTTTCAGCGTTGCTGGTCTGAAAGCACCATTAGGAGAGTAGAGCCCAATCTGTCCGATCTGCAGTCTATTAGAAGAGAGTGATTCACCGAAAATTGCGTGTATTGGTTCAAGGTTTTAAAGTTGCAAATCAAAAAATGTGTTAATGAATGCTAATGCTAACGAGTGCTAATAAGTCCATCCATCCATCTTCTTCCCCTTAATCCATTTATTTACTGATCGTCCTGCAAGTGGTAAGTCCGCAGGAGGATGGCTTCTCTGTCCGTGGCAGTATAGAAGTGGGGGCTTCAGGCAAAGTGGGGTTAAGTGTCTTGCCTGGTCCTGGGTTCGAATCCCGGTCGGACCAGGGCCTTTCTGAGTGGAGTTTGCATGTTCTCCCCGTGTCTGCGTAGGTTTCCTCCGGGTACTCCGGTTTCCCCCGGGTACTCCGGTTTCCCCTACCACTAAAAATATGTACAATAGGTCTGGCATGCGCCTCCTGTTCGGCGACCCCGCTCCCATCTCTGTGTGGAGTGAGAGGACAATTGCCCAAAAAATAATAACAATTGTAAACCGCTTTGTGACCCTTGTCTGTGAAAGGCGGTATATAAATAAACATTACTTACTTACTTACTTACTTACTTGCCCAAGGATACAACAATAGGAGTCCCATCAGTGGGGTGGGGTGGGAAAGGTCTTATGATGAACTCGAGCTCACAACCTTCAGGCTTAAAGGCTAATGCTCTATCAACTGAGCTAATGTCGCCCCAGTGCTAATTTGTTCTGTAGCATACTTCTGGCTGGGTTTAACCTGTTTTCTGTGTCAGGACCAGGACGTCCCGTCTGAGGACTCTGAGGACTCGGACCAAGAGAAGAGCAAGAGGAGCTGTGAGTGTGAGGGGGGAGGGGGGAGGGAGGTCTCTCTCTGGTCAGATCTCTCTCTGGTGTCGGGTCTCTCTTTCTGTGGTCTCAGGTCTCTCTCTTTGGTCGCCGGTCTCTCTCTTTGGTCTCAGGTCTCTCTCTGATCTCAGGTCTCTCTCTGGTCTCAGGTCTCTCTCAGGTCTCTCTCTGGTCTCAGGTCTTTCTCTTTGGTTGTAGGTCTCTCTCTTTGGTCTCAGGTCTCTCTCTTTATTGGTCGCAGGTCTCTCTTTTGTCACAGGTTTCTCTCTGGTCTCAGGTCTCTCTCTTTAGTCGCAGGTCTCTGTCTTTGGTCGCAGGTCTCTCTCTTTTGTCTCAGGTCTCTCTCTTTATTGGTCGCAGGTCTCTCTTTGGTCGCAGGTTTCTCTCTGGTCTCAGGTCTCTCTCTTTGGTCGCAGGTCTCTCTCTTTGGTCTCAGGTCTCTCTCTTTATTGGTCGCAGGTCTCTCTTTGGTTGCAGGTTTCTCTCTGGTCTCAGGTCTCTCTCTTTGGTCGCAGGTCTCTCTCTTTGGTCTCAGGTCTCTCTCTTTGGTCGCAGGTCTCTCTCTTTTGTCTCAGGTCTCTCTCTTTATTGGTCGCAGGTCTCTCTTTGGTCGCAGGTTTCTCTCTGGTCTCAGGTCTCTCTCTTTGGTCGCAGGTCTCTCTCTTTGGTCTCAGGTCTCTCTCTTTATTGGTCGCAGGTCTCTCTTTGGTTGCAGGTTTCTCTCTGGTCTCAGGTCTCTCTCTTTGGTCGCAGGTCTCTCTCTTTGGTCTCAGGTCTCTCTCTTTGGTCGCAGGTCTCTCTCTTTTGTCTCAGGTCTCTCTCTTTTGTCTCAGGTCTCTCTCTTTTGTCTCAGGTCTCTCTCTTTTGTCTCAGGTCTCTCTCTTTATTGGTAGCAGGTCTCTCTTTGGTCGCAGGTTTCTCTTTGGTTGCAGGTCTCGCTTTGGTCTCAGGTCTTCTCTCTGGTCTCAGGACTCTCTCTTTGGTCTCAGGTCTCTCTCTTTGGTCTCAGGTCTAACTCTGGTCTCTCCTCAGGGAGTGGTGGCTCCGAGCAGAGACGAGTTCGTCACAAACTAAGACGATTCCTCCAGAGACGACCGACTCTGGAGAGCGTCAAAGAGAAAGGATATATAAGAGGTACTGCTACTGCTGCTGAAACTAATGCTACAGCTGCTGCTACTACTACTGCTTCTGCCACTACTGACCCTGGTCCCTTACCCTGACCCTGCTCTCAGAGGCTGTCTTCGGCTGTCACCTGGACACTCTCTGTCACCGTGAGAACTCATCCATCCCGCGCTTCGTCCAGAAGTGTCTGCGTTATGTAGAGCGCCACGGCCTGGACACAGATGGACTCTACAGAGTGTCCGGAAACCTGGCTGTGATCCAGAGGCTGAGGCACAAGGCTGACCAGGGTATGTGTGTGTGTGTGTTTGTGTGTGTCTCTGTCTGTCCGTGTGTGTATGACCTGTGTCTCTGTGACTTGTCTCAGAGGACATGTTGGACCTGGAAGACAATGCCTCCTCCTGGACTGATGTACACGTTGTGACTGGAGCTCTGAAGTTGTTCTTCCGGGAGTTACCAGAACCACTGTTCCCCTTCAGCTGCTTCAGCAAATTCATCGCCGCCATACGTAAGAGTAGTAGTAGTAGAAGTAGTAGAAGTAGTAGTAGTCGTCTCACTAACTCTCCACTTCACAGAGCTGCCTCAGTACACACAGAGAGTCTCTTACATTAAGGACCTCCTCCAGACTCTCCCTCTGCCCAATCACAAAACCATGGAGCTGCTCTTCAGACACCTGAGCAGGTGAGTCCGCCCTCTCCCTCACCTGTGTTCTTCTGTTAGCTTCAGTCTTGTCCAATCACAGCTCTTCTGTCATTGCCTGTCGTGTCCAATCACAGCTCTTCTGTTGGCTTCCAGGGTCATCGAGCATGGCGAGCAAAATCGTATGTCTTCGCACTCGTTGGCCATCGTCTTCGGTCCAACGCTCCTTCGTCCTGAAGTGGAGTCGAACCTCACAGTCCATATGGTCTTCCAGAGCCAGATCGTGGAACTGATGCTCAGGGAGGGCATGTCTATGTTTGAAATTAGCCAATGAGAGCAGAAGGGGCATGGCTATGTTTGAAATTGGCCAATGAGAGCAGAGGAGGGCTTGGCTATATTTGTAAGTAGCCAATGAGAGCAGAGGAAGGGACGAGGCTGGACCAATCAGAGCCCTCCTCATACTGCTGCTCCTTCACAATAAAACAGTGTAATGATTTGTTTAGTTTTATTGCGGTGATTGATTCTAACTTTTATTGTGGCGGGTTTTTATTACGTACATTTTATTGTGAAAGTCTTGTACAGAAACATTTATGAATATTTGTGTTTTTATTGAGACAAAAAACCATAGACTAGTTAGCATTGTCCATCTTTTATGTCTATGAACTCTAGAAACCGTCTTCGCAAAACACGTGCGCCAAAATTGCTAGACCAAATTTCCATTTAAAGAAACTGGCTCTAGCTTGCTTATGTTCAAACCAGCTTCTTCATTCACACTATAGTGATGTCACACTATGATGATGTCACACTCAAGTCTGCAGCAAAGCACCAAATAATTTTAAATAAAATGTTGAATATATTGACAATAACACATGTTTAAAGCTGGGGTACTCAAAGACTCATAAAGAACATGTAGTTCAAACAGAAAGAATCTAACGGTTAAATCAGACACAACATGCTGTCTGAGAGCTGATTGGAGTGAGGGTGGCCCTTTCTTTTTCACTTTTCTGCTGATCTAAAGATGTGACAGAGAACAAAAAACATGATTTGAGAATCAGATCAACATCAGACCCAGACCCAAACCCTGACCAGAAGTAGACCAGCCCCAGGCTCAGAACAGAGGCCCAAAATACATGCGTGTGAAAACTGATAGTACCAAAACATTTCAGTTTTTGTGGTCTCTAAGTTACATACCCCAGCTTTAAGAGATGTACTTATTTTTACTTTTTGAAAAATTGAAAAACTGTAAATGATTTTGTACAAACTTTATTAAAATATTTTACAAAAATAAATATTTTATAAATAAAACTTTATTTGTTATAAATACTGTTTAAAGTGTCTGATTGTTTATATATACATAGAGGGCTCTCCCATAACTGGGTCACATAAACCCCGTGTTTCTAGTCTGGACCATAGATTCTCACTTCTACAGTGTGTTCTCCTCTCACACAGGACCCAGTCCCAGAGGACCCTGTCCCAGGTGGCTCTGTCCTGGGCGGCCCAGTCCCAGAGGACCCTGTCCCAGGTGGCTCTGTCCTGGGCGGCCCAGTCCCAGAGGACCAGAGGACCCTGTCCCAGGTGGCTCTGTCCTGGGCGGCCCAGTCCCAGAGGACCCTGTCCCAGAGTTCCAGATTGTGTGTATTTACAGCTCCTACACGTTGCCAGATTGTGTGTGTGTTTCCAGTGCTCTCAGACTCCGGCGGACGTCACGGCAGAACTCACGTACAGTTGTTAGTGTCAAATGCGCCGCCACTTGCGTCTCGTAGTCGCTACTGAGACGACTCAGAATACTGCTCTCTGATTGGACAGGTGTTGGCTGGGCTACGCCCATCAATGACATCATCTGAAACATGTGACACGTTAGATAACAGCGCTAAAGGCTAACTGATTGTTAGAAAAGCCCAGTACTAAGGAGGTAGGACATAGGAGCTAGGACACATGAGGTAGGACACAGGAGCTAGGACACAGGAGGTAGGACACAGGAGCTAGGACACAGGAGGTAGGACACAGGAGCTAGGACCAGTGATGGGAATAACGGCGTTACTAGTAACGGCGTTACTAACGCCGTTACTTTTTTCAGTAACGAGTAATCTAACTAATTACTTTGACAGTTGTGGTTGTTACCATGTATTAACAAAGGACAAACTTGACAAACAATACAGTGACACACAAAACATATAACCAAAAATCAGTGAATGGCCATTCAATGGTTAAACACGTGTTTCGAATCAATATTCATTCAGCACTGCACAAGTACAATGTATAGAGACGGTTTTCACAGTATTCACAAAAGCAACCAGTGATAGAATTCAACAAAACAGTTTCTCAGCCCGCGGCACAGTTCATCATTAACCCACTCTGGGTTTGACCAGTTGGACAGAGGGAGGCGGTGCACAAGAGTTTGTGAGATGTGGATGAGTGGATTGCAAAAGTTCCGTGCAAAGTGGGGAGAGAGTTTGTGGGCTGCAAGGAGCCCCCTACCGGCCAGCAGGGGAGATGCGAACATGCGACTCCAGATCCAGTGGGCTCTGTAGGCTCTAGGCCTGGTCCTTCAGCTCGCCATCAGGGTCAAAACCTGGCCTGTAGAACAGGACCAAAGCTCAAATAAATCAAAAGCTACTAAATAGTTAAGCTCCAGTGTGCACACAATTCTACAATACAGCACAGGTTGTACTATAATCCATCATTATCAAAGGGTTAAAAACCATATCAGTACTAGTATATAAATATTCACAGTGTATTAGTACATAATGTACTAGCTGTAGTCATTAAACAGTATAAATTCAATGAACATTAAATAAACAGTCAATAAGTTAAACAATGAATGCAATATCATTAAATAACATTCATAAGTAAAAGCAAAGCATTACTGATGAGCAGAACAGGCATAAAAGCTGCTTGCATAAAGCACATGTTAACCACTCCACTAATACAAAATGGATGTGGCTAGAAATGGCTATGCTACAGTGTGAAATAAGCTACACTCACCAATTCCTTGTATTCCTCCTCACAAGCGAGCTGATCACTAGTGATGGGTCCAGCAACACTGATACACCGGCGCATGTGCCGAGTTCGTTTAGCGAAACCTCGTATCGGCGCGCGTGTCGCTTTATGAAAAAGCCACGTGACCAATACAGCCGCAGTGTCGCTTGTCACCGACACGGCAAACTGTGTTTAAAAGGTTCCGCATCTGCAAGTGTCACCGGTATGAACCGCTCTCAGAAAAATAAAATAACCCTTTCAAAAAGGAAAAGCATCCCATTTTACAGCATAAAAAAATGGAACCTGCCACTAAAAGAAAGTATTCTGCAGTGTGATACTGCAAATAACAGCAAATAAGGCAATGTTTGTATTTTACATTTCACGCTTTATCTACAATCCAGCTTTAGTTTGAAACGCAAAATCTAGTTAGGCATGGTGGATGAGTGGATAGCGCTCTCGCCTCGCGTTTGAGAGAACTGGGTACGAATCCCTGTCGGACCTCAAAAGTTTATGTTGACATCACAGTCTTGAAGAATAATTTTGAGAAATTGAAGTGCAGAAAATGTCAAAGGTTTTTTCAAGTATACTTTAGTTGCCAGGGTTTACAGTGCACTTTGGACATGCTTATTGTTTTGAAAAAAACAAAACAAAATACACATCACTCAATGACATTTTGCTTAATGAATACATTCACAACTATCACTTTAATTTTCACATAAAATAAAATAACACAGACAATGCAGTTACGTAATATTGTGTGCAGACAAGTATGTAAAGCTCATTGAATCAGTGAGTTGGATGCAATGATTTATCATATCCACCAGGTGTCAGTATAGAGCAGCACAAGCAACACTGTTGCGGCACAGTATCAACACAGTTTGTTGGATGTGCCGAAACGATACGTGAGGTTTCATTTACCCATCACTACTGATCACTATTCTTTGGCAAATAGAATAATAATAATAATAATGCATCGGTTTTATATAGCGCTTTCTTGGACACTCAAAGACGCTTCACATGTGTCATTAATCATTCACTCCATACACGGTGGTGATGACCTACTACTGTAGCCACAGCTGCCCTGGGGCACACTGACAGAAGCGAGGCAACCAGTCTGTGCCATCGGCCCCTCCGACCACCACCAACCATTCACACACACACCAGACTCATTCTAGGCAATGGGGGTGAAGTGTCTTGCCTAAGGACACAACGGCAGTTTGGCACTTTACAGCCGCAGCCGCCCCACTGTGGCACCTGCTGTTCCCAGAGGTTAAGAAGGCTCCTACATGAGGCAAGGTTGTACAATAAACATCAAGCAGAACACAAAGGCATCAAACAGTAAAGTGAGCACACTACACACCTGCAGCCACTCCCTACACAGCTTCCCCCACAGCACTTCCTGAACCTGCTTTCCTCTAACCAATAAAACCATGCATTGGCTAGAAGGGATCTGATTGGCTAATGGGTGGAGCAAGCAGTAGGCCAAGCAGTGGTATATTCAAAGGGGAAAAACACTAGCAGGATTTGTCACCTGGGTTACACTGTGCAACAGGCTTATGGAGTTACAACTGTTCACAGTATACATAGTTCCCACAGACCAATGAATGTCACATGACCTCCTCGGAGACGCCATCTTTGATGGCACGCTGCTGTGTTTGTGCATTCCATTAAACAGAAGAATGAGAATAAATGTAGATATTCAAACGCAAATTGGAAAAAAAGGGCAACTTTTGAGCAAATAATTGTATATTAATACAATGGCACCACAGTTTAACGTGCTACGGACATGTTTTACATACTTGATCAAATTATGCAGCAAAAATTAACAAGCAATGCAAACATTTCTCAAAAACTTTAGATTTAATACCAGTTGGAGCTCCATTTAATTATTTTAATTATATTAACAATTAATTTAATTAATGCTAATGCCACACGGACACTCTGGATTGCTGTTATTGTAGGGTACTATATTGTACTACACAGTACTACAGACAGTTTTACAGAGTACAACACAGTACTACACTGTATTCTTTAGTTTTTATTCAGTTTTTAAACACAGTTTAACAGAGTTCTACAGAGTACACACAGTACTACACAGTACTTCAGACAGTTTTACAGTACTAGCTCAGCATTGAACAGTATTCTTTAGTTTCTATTCAGTTGTCAAACATTAGGCCTGTTGGCTGTAATAACACTTTACCATTTGTCCCAGTTTAATACAAACAGGATTAGGCCTTTACTACGGAGTCTATAAACTGCACACTCACACACACACAAACACATACAGTATACACACACTGACATGTACACAAACACATGCACACACACACATATACAGTATACACACCAGCGCACACACACACTGACACAGAAACTGCTCATCAGCCTAATTGTGGGGGTCTTAACAGTACTGTACAGACACGCCCAAAGACCCACCCACAACCAACATGTCCACAGACACACCCACAACAGACACGCCCACAAACACACCCACGGACACACCCACAACCGACACGCCCACAGATACGCCCAGACACACCCACAGACACGCCCACACTCATGGCCACCACAAACTAGTGGCTAACATGCTGTTTGGTGTAGCTGCTGTCTTGTGGCTCTAATCTCTCCCCTCTCTCTCTTATCACCTCCCTTGTCTTCTCCCCCTCAACCCCCCCTCTGCAGGCAAAGGACAGTGATGATGACGAGGAGGTGGTGCAGGTCGACAGAGACCACTTCATGGACGAGTTCTTTGAACAGGTGAGAGACAACCAGCCCATCTGGGGGAATCTGAGGGAACACTGTGAGGCTGCAGTGCCCATAGTAGGAGGAGCTGCCGTAGCACTGTCTCCTCAGAGGAGTACATGTAGCTGCAGTAACACTTCTGTCCTGTAGGTGGAGGAGATCCGCGGCTGCATAGAGAAACTGTCTGAAGATGTGGAGCAGGTGAAGAAGCAGCACAGCGCCATCCTCGCCGCGCCCAACCCCGACGAGAGTGAGTATAACCAGTACCATTACAAGTACTACCAGTACAACCAGTCCCACGAGTATTACAAGTACTACTACCAGTCCCACGAGTATTACAAGTACTACTACCAGTCCCACTGGAAGTACTACCAGTACTACCAGTACTACTACTACTACTATGATAACTACCAGTACCACTGCAATTACAACCAGTACTAAGAGTACTACAACAAGTACTACAAGTACCACTACAAAAACTACCAGTATTACCAGTACTACAAGTACCACTGCAAGTATTACCAGTACTACCAGTTCTATACTACAACTAAATTGGTCCTTCACTGTAACACATTCCACCATTGTAGGCCTTGCTGTGTTTCTCCTGCTCTCTCTGATCTCTTTCTGGTCTTTCTCTCTCTGGTCTTTCACTGGTCTGTCTCTCTCTCTGGTCTCTCTCTCTGGTCTCTCTCTCTGGTCTCTCTCTTGTCTCTCTCTCTGGTCTCTCTCTCTGGTCTCTCTCTTGTCTCTCTGTCTGGTCTCTCTCTCTGGTCTCTCTCTGGTCTCTCTCTCTGGTCTCTCTGTCTGGTCTCTCTCTCTGGTCTCTCTCTCTGGTCTCTCTCTCTGGTCTCTCTCTGGTCTCTCTCTCTGGTCTCTCTCTGGTCTCTCTCTGGTCTCTCTCTCTGGTCTCTCTCTCTGGTCTCTCTCTGGTCTCTCTCTCTGGTCTCTCTCTCTGGTCTGGGTTCTACAGCCTTAAAACATAGAGCTGCTACTTGGCCCCTGTAGTACTGACTCCTTTGACGTCTGTCGTCTCTGTGTGTTCTATTTACTGTTTATCATTGTTGTTTTTTATTGTTTATTATAGTTTGTTGTTGTCGCTGACGCTTGTTTGCCTCCGTGTTTTCGGTGCATGATCATGTGACGTCGCTGCTGCATGCGCTGTTTTCAGTTTGTCCAGTGATGTTGATGTCATCACTTTTACATGTGAAGCCCCGCCCACTGCATGCATGGCCCCGCCCCATCCGCAGGTAAGCACTCATCTGGACATGTGACATCACCACTTTACTGCATCCATCCCACCCCTTCTGTCCGAATCAGAAATGAGTCCAAACTGAGAGCCTCTGCTTTGCTAACACAATGTTAGCCATTGCTCAGAATTGTCATTCTGTGTCATCCAGCCAACTTCATCTTCACCAACACAGAGCAGGTCAGGACCTCTGCTAACATGTGTTTGTGGTCAGATCAGATGTGAGTCATGGAGCTAACATTCAGGCATGTGGAGGTCTGCTCTGTGTCCTCAGTGTCCTGGTCACAGGTCACAAAACACTGTAGAGCTGTAATTAGGCCCAAAAACGAACGCCCGAGTCAGACAAAATTCAGCCCGATCTGAACACGACAAAGACTGTTTTTTTTTTTTTTCCTGAATCCGACTACACACCCTGTCAAGACTGCCTCTACCAGACTGCATTTGCTCAAACACGCCAATGGATCTTGGCCGCTGCATCAGGGAGACTGCTGCTGACACACAGAGGGATATTGGGGCTGGAGGAACTGATGTCGCGGCCCCTGACTCCCAGTTGAGAGGAGCAGGCGATTTGACCATCCCTCTCTAGACTTTTATTAGCGTTAATTCAACTTCTACATAATTATAGTGGGCCATAGTACTCTGTATACTTTATTTAATTGTGATAGGTGGATATGTGCACCTTTCCAGGCAGCGTGAAGAATATGTGACACATCATCCCTGCACCACACATACTTAATTGAAGAAGTTCAGATTTTAACTGAATACAAGCTGTTGACACATACGTTTGTCAGAGACTGAGGCGATGAGAAGAGCAGAAGTCTTATTTCAAGCATGTTGACACAACTCTGATAGATCAAAATTAAGCCCAGCACAAATCCTGCCGGGCCCAGGTCAGAGCTCCAATTATCCCGAGTTATCTCGAGCTGTCAGGTCACAGGTCCTGTTCAATAGTGTTTCCTTCACGAGGGCTGTTCAAAACCGCTTTCGGCTTTAATGTGTGTGTTGTTCCTCAGAGACCAAGCAGGAGCTGGAGGACCTGACGGCCGACATTAAGAAGACAGCCAACAAAGTGCGCTCAAAGTTAAAAGGTAAAACCCACCTCTGACTTCTGCACTTGTCCTGTCTCCGGTCCTGTCTCTAACACAGTGAGTGTGTTTCAGCGATCGAGCAGAGCATCGAGCAGGAGGAGGGTCTC